TGTTTACATCTGCTATCCCCGTCCATGTATCCACTTCTTTCATGTGTAACCTCAAGATTCCATTTCCTCAACTTACATGTGTTTACATCTGCTATCCCCGTCCATGTATCCACTTCTTTCATGTGTAACCTCAAGATTCCATTTCCTCAACTTCCATGTGTTTACATCTGCTATCCCGTCCATGTATCCACTTCTTTCATGTGTAACCTCAAGATTCCATTTCCTCAACTTCCTTGTGTTTACATCTGCTATCCCGTCCATGTATCCACTTCTTTCATGTGTAACCTCAAGATTCCATTTCTTCAACTTCCATGTGTTTACATCTGCTATCCCCGTCCATGTATCCACTTCTTTCATGTGTAACCTCAAGATTCCATTTCCTCAACTTCCTTGTGTTTACATCTGCTATCCCCGTCCATGTATCCACTTCTTTCATGTGTAACCTCAAGATTCCATTTCCTCAACTTCCATCTGTTTACACCTGCTATCCCCGTCCATGTATCCACTTCTTTCATGTGTAACCTCAAGATTCCATTTCCTCAACTTACATGTGTTTACATCTGCTATCCCCGTCCATGTATCCACTTCTTTCATGTGTAACCTCAAGATTCCATTTCCTCAACTTCCATGTGTTTACATCTGCTATCCCCGTCCATGTATCTACTTCTTTCATGTGTAACCTCAAGATTCCATTTCCTCAACTTACATGTGTTTACATCTGCTATCCCCGTCCATGTATCCACTTCTTTCATGTGTAACCTCAAGATTCTATTTCCTCAACTTCCATGTGTTTACATCTGCTATCCCCGTCCATGTATCCACGTCTTTCATGTGTAACCTCAAGATTCCATTTCCTCAACTTCCATGTGTTTACATCTGCTATCCCCGTCCATGTATCTAATTCTTTCATGTGTAACCTCAAGATTCCATTTCCTCAACTTCCATGTGTTTACATCTGCTATCCCCGTCCATGTATCCACTTCTTTCATGTGTAACCTCAAGATTCCATTTCCTCAACTTCCATCTGTTTACATCTGCTATCCCGTCCATGTATCCACTTCTTTCATGTGTAACCTCAAGATTCCATTTCCTCAACTTCCATGTGTTTACATCTGCTATCCCCGTCCATGTATCCACTTCTTTCATGTGTAACCTCAAGATTCCATTTCCTCAACTTCCATGTGTTTACATCTGCTATCCCCGTCCATGTATCCACTTCTTTCATGTGTAACCTCAAGATTCCATTTCCTCAACTTCCATGTGTTTACATCTGCTATCCCCGTCCATGTATCCACTTCTTTCATGTGTAACCTCAAGATTCCATTTCCTCAACTTCCATGTGTTTACATCTGCTATCCCCGTCCATGTATCCACTTCTTTCATGTGTAACCTCAAGATTCCATTTCCTCAACTTCCATGTGTTTACATCTGCTATCCCCGTCCATGTATCTACTTCTTCCATGTGTAACCTCAAGATTCCATTTCCTCAACTTCCATGTGTTTACATCTGCTATCCCGTCCATGTATCCACTTCTTTCATGTGTAACCTCAAGATTCCATTTCCTCAACTTCCATGTGTTTACATCTGCTATCCCCGTCCATGTATCCACTTCTTCCATGTGTAACCTCAAGATTCCATTTCCTCAACTTACATGTGTTTACATCTGCTATCCCCGTCCATGTATCCACTTCTTCCATGTGTAACCTCAAGATTCCATTTCCTCAACTTCCATGTGTTTACATCTGCTATCCCCGTCCATGTATCCACTTCTTTCATGTGTAACCTCAAGATTCCATTTCCTCAACTTCCATGTGTTTACATCTGCTATCCCCGTCCATGTATCCACTTCTTCCATGTGTAACCTCAAGATTCCATTTCCTCAACTTACATGTGTTTACATCTGCTATCCCCGTCCATGTATCCACTTCTTCCATGTGTAACCTCAAGATTCCATTTCCTCAACTTCCATGTGTTTACATCTGCTATCCCCGTCCATGTATCCACTTCTTTCATGTGTAACCTCAAGATTCCATTTCCTCAACTTCCATGTGTTTACATCTGCTATCCCCGTCCATGTATCCACTTCTTCCATGTGTAACCTCAAGATTCCATTTCCTCAACTTCCATGTGTTTACATCTGCTATCCCCGTCCATGTATCCACTTCTTCCATGTGTAACCTCAAGATTCCATTTCCTCAACTTCCATGTGTTTACATCTGCTATCCCCGTCCATGTATCCACTTCTTGCATGTGTAACCTCAAGATTCCATTTCCTCAACTTACATGTGTTTACATCTGCTATCCCCGTCCATGTATCCACTTCTTCCATGTGTAACCTCAAGATTCCATTTCCTCAACTTCCATGTGTTTACATCTGCTATCCCCGTCCATGTATCCACTTCTTTCATGTGTAACCTCAAGATTCCATTTCCTCAACTTCCATGTGTTTACATCTGCTATCCCCGTCCATGTATCCACTTCTTTCATGTGTAACCTCAAGATTCCATTTCCTCAACTTCCATGTGTTTACATCTGCTATCCCCGTCCATGTATCCACTTCTTTCATGTGTAACCTCAAGATTCCATTTCCTCAACTTCCATGTGTTTACATCTGCTATCCCCGTCCATGTATCCACTTCTTTCATGTGTAACCTCAAGATTCCATTTCCTCAACTTCCATGTGTTTACATCTGCTATCCCCGTCCATGTATCTACTTCTTCCATGTGTAACCTCAAGATTCCATTTCCTCAACTTCCATGTGTTTACATCTGCTATCCCGTCCATGTATCCACTTCTTTCATGTGTAACCTCAAGATTCCATTTCCTCAACTTCCATGTGTTTACATCTGCTATCCCCGTCCATGTATCCACTTCTTCCATGTGTAACCTCAAGATTCCATTTCCTCAACTTACATGTGTTTACATCTGCTATCCCCGTCCATGTATCCACTTCTTCCATGTGTAACCTCAAGATTCCATTTCCTCAACTTCCTTGTGTTTACATCTGCTATCCCGTCCATGTATCCACTTCTTTCATGTGTAACCTCAAGATTCCATTTCCTCAACTTCCATGTGTTTACATCTGCTATCCCCGTCCATGTATCTACTTCTTTCATGTGTAACCTCAAGATTCCATTTCCTCAACTTCCATGTGTTTACATCTGCTATCCCCGTCCATGTATCCACTTCTTTCATTCGTAACCTCAAGATTCCATTTCCTCAACTTCCATGTGTTTACATCTGCTATCCCGTCCATGTATCCGCTTCTTTCATGTGTAACCTCAAGATTCCATTTCCTCAACTTACATGTGTTTACATATACTATCCCCGTCCATGTATCCACTTCTTTCATGTGTAACCTCAAGATTCCATTTCCTCAACTTCCATGTGTTTACATCTGCTATCCCCGTCCATGTATCCACTTCTTTCATGTGTAACCTCAAGATTCCATTTCCTCAACTTCCATGTGTTTACATCTGCTATCCCCGTCCATGTATCTACTTCTTTCATGTATAACCTCAAGATTCCATTTCCTCAACTTCCTTGTGTATACATCTGCTATCCCCGTCCATGTATCCACTTCTTTCATGTGTAACCTCAAGATTCCATTTCCTCAACTTCCTTGTGTATACATCTGCTATCCCGTCCATGTATCCACTTCTTTCATGTACAACCTGAAGATTCCATTTCCTCAACTTACATGTGTTTACATCTGCTATCCCCGTCCATGTATCTACTTCTTTCATGTGTAACCTCAAGATTCCATTTCCTCAACTTCCATGTGTTTACATCTGCTATCCCCGTCCATGCATCTACTTCTTTCATATGTAACCTCAAGATTCCATTTCTTCAACTTCCATGTGTTTACATCTGCTACCCCCGTCCATGTATCTACTTCTTTCATGTGTAACCTCAAGATTCCATTTCCTCAACTTACATGTGTTTACATCTGCTACCCCCGTCCATGTATCCACTTCTTTCATGTGTAACCTCAAGATTCCATTTCCTCAACTTACATGTGTTTACATCTGCTATCCCCGTCCATGTATCCACTTCTTTCATGTACAACCTCAAGATTCCATTTCTTCAACTTACATGTGTTTACATCTGCTATCCCAGTCCATGTATCCACTTCTTTCATGTACAACCTCAAGATTCCATTTCCTAAACTTACATGTGTTTACATCTGCTATCCCCGTCCATGTATCTACTTCTTTCATGTGTAACCTCCAGATTCCATTTCCTCAACTTCCTTGTGTTTACATCTGCTATCTCCGTCCATGTATCCACTTCTTTCATGTGTAACCTCCAGCTCCCATAGGTTTGCATCTATCAGCATATTGTGTTTCTACTTTTCATACTTCCACTATTCATACTTCTACTTCTTCATCCGACATCCACATACATCCTCTATCCTGACCTAAACGTTCCACTTCATCAATATCTTCCATGCGGGCATCTACAACTTCCACTTGCATACGTATGCAAATATTCTCTCTACTCATTCAGGTTCTACTCCTGATCAGTCTGACCGCCTCCGTGGTCTAGTGGTTGAGCGTCCGCCCGGAGAGCGGAAGGTCCAGGGTTCGATCCCTGGCCGCGTCATACAAAAAGACGTTAAAAGATTGTACTTGTTGTTACCCTGTCTGGCGCTCGGCATTAAGGGGCTAAAACAAGGACTGGTCGGCTCGGAGTCAGTATACTGTGTCTGAGTGGGGTATTCATGTTAAACTGCGGCATGGTATCTCAGTGAGCTAGCACTATAAATCGGCATCAGTCCGGACTAGTACAAGCAGCCACACACACACATACACGTGCATGCACGTCGCTATATAAGTGCAATAATCTTGGACGCGACGTTAAACCCAATTTCACCTCACCTCACCTGATCAGTCTATTATTCAGACTTGTAGAATTACCTATCGTTATACAAGTTATTATTTATAACAAACTCTACATACACATGTAGCTCCTTATCTCCCAGGCCTGACCTGCATAACATGTGCCAGATAATACACCTCGACCACTAAACTGTGTTCTAGGTCTGGGCGGCGTCATGCTGCTGGTTCTATATTACTTGGTGGTGGTGCATGTTTTACCTTCGGACTCTCAGTTTGATGGATGTCTACGGAAACAGTTCAACTGCGTTGCCGCCAAGTTTAGGGGGGAGTACACACCGCTTGGATTTCACCTGACAGACGTGAGTGTAGCTTGATGTTAAAGTAAGTGGACCCTGGACTGAAATCATATTGTTCCCAAAATAAATTAATCCAAAATAACTCGAATCTGTCTTTAGCCGTGTGTTAAATTCCCTATTTTGACTTGTACAATATGTCCCCGTGTTTTTTTACAGGTAAACAATTAGCTTGCCTTTGCATGTGTTTGTGACGGGTGTCACATGCTCATGATATAAACAGTCGTACAATCGATTTTGGTTGGATATGGAAAGGGTATTCAGTCATGAGAATAATAACAATAATAAGTAATTATGACACGTGAGCCATTTGGCTCGACTCAATGTATAATAGATATATATATTTATCGGAGTTGACACAATACAGGGATGAGGTGAATAATAGGCAAGTATAGACAGGGAAGTAGTTTTACCTTACGGTGATTAAACGGACAATTAAGTTAAATTAAAAGACTAAGTCTTATTGACTGTTATGGCACTGATATCTTAATAAGTCGACTCTATGATTCCGACGATATCGTGAGCATGTGTTTATGAATCACTATCAAACAGTGATGATACCATGTTTTCGCAATACCATGAGCATATCCTGCTACGCCGGTGGCACCATCACAAACACACGCAAAGGCAGGTTAAGTGTTCACCTGGAACAAAACCCGTTGGAACAATTGGTACAAGTCTAAGTAGGGAATTGCATCGAACACCACATCCTCCACATGTCTACCACAAACATTTTTGAGAGCTTCACTGAGGACTTGAATGTTGTAACCTGATCAAACATCTTTTGAGTAAGAGTCGTGGGATTCTTCTTAAAATCTTCGTAGACTCAATTTCTTAAATGTAGACACCAATGGCTGGAGCTGCTGGAATATTCCTCGACTTAAAGGGAAAGCTGACTGACAACCAACTGATCAAATAACGTAGCGTGAGGTACGGAACGTCATCTTACGTTGTGTTGTTGTATCGTAGAGCACGGAGAAGATCTTCTATGACGAAGATAGAAGAATGATAGCGAGAGAGGAGTATGGACAGAAGGAGGGACAACCATTCCTGACATTCCGCCTCTATGACTACCCAAACGTAAGTACACAAATTGTTCAAGATTATCCATTTCAAATGTTTAAAAAAATTTGAATAATATAATCTAAATCAAGTCAATAAAACTAATAAAACCCTTTCCACGTGCATAAGAAAACTCTGCTTAAAGCTATTGTAAGATTCTGATTATATCACGAGTGTGTTTACTAATCATTATCTTGTTTGTTTGTTTGTTGTTTAACGCCGCACTCAGCTATATTCCAGCTATATGACGGCGGTTTGTAAATAATCGAGTCTGGACCAGACAATCCAGTGATTGATATCATGAGCATCGATTCACGCAATTGGCATACGATGACATTCATTAACCAAGTCAGCGAGCCTGAACACCCGATCCCGTTAGTCTCCTCTTACGACAAGCATTGTCGCCTTTTACGGGAAGCATGGGCTGCTGAAGACCTACTCTACCCCGGATCTTCACGGGCCCAGTAATCACTATCAAATAGTGAATATCAGGTGGTTCTACCCGCCATAATATATAACCCAGAATGGATTGGACACTGAATTAAAATTTTCAAAATTATTTATTTCAAATCTTGTGATCAGCAGTAAGCAATATATCACCAAGGATGTGCTTTTCCTGAAACACGGAACTGGTGGTGAGAACTGGTTTCACACATCCATCCGCTACGTGTCTTGTCCCAACCTGATGAGTGAGTGAATGAAATGGGTTTAATGCCGTTATGAAAGGTATTCCAGTTATATCTCGGTGTAGATACATGCATGTATGGTCCTCACGTACCAAGGACAACAATCGGAGATTCCAACCAAACACCGATGGGACTCTAATGACTGTTCTCTCAATCTCATTAAAATCAGATCTTAGTTCTCGTTATCGCTAAACAAAGATCTGAGGACATCCCATTACGGGTCACGTCAGAACGACCTTTCATCCGACCAATCAAAGCGTCGCTTACCAGATCATGAAAGTGACAGTCGGAATTTGTTTTCTAATCATGCAACCTCGAAAACGTTAAAACGGGATATTCCGAACGACAGTTACGGCCCGTACGACTGATTCCGTCAAAATTATCGTCTATCTCTCGCTTCCGTGGGATAAACATTTAAACGGAGGAGGCGTTGCACAGCACATGGGAAGCACTGCCATACAATCTCAACCATATATTAGACATTTAGGGATGATTGTTTGTTTAGTTTTCAAAATTTTAATCGAGAACTGTGTCAACATATTTATCAAGCGTAGTCTGAAATGGAAGTCGCCAGGTTGAAACGAGTGCCGAAAAGCTCGAGAAAGCAGCTTTCTCATTGGCTGAAATCGACTTCTTGCTATTCATTTCATTGGTCGGTCAAAGTTCGCGAAAAAGTCGTTCTGCCGTGACTCGTAATGGGATGTCCTCAGATCATTGTTTTGCGGAAGCGAGAACTTAGCTCTTATTTTAATGAGATTGCTGTTCTCTGCATAGTCACCCTCGCGCATGAAGAATCTGCGAGGTATCCCAACGTTTGTTTCACTTACAACCCGTTAAATACCTTTCATGGACAGCATTTTTTCTTCACCAGGAGACGTTGTATGATGTGTTCACAGTCGATGGCAAAGAGACGTGTGTGAAGCTGGCCTTGTATGAGCCTTTCGAGAAGGTGTGCATGCCAAGTAAGTCATTTCTTTTGGAAGGGTCTCCAGTGCCTAAAGCACAATAATACAATTGCTGCTGTACTAAGCTGGCTATTCTGACTTTTCTTTAGAGGACATTCGTGGCCTAGTTGCGTCCCTTTGACGAGCCAGGATCCTTCGTTCGCGAATTCGGACCCCTTATTCGTCCTGGTTTTTATTCTTCATGGTCAACGCCATGGCCATACCCTTGCTGGTAGGTTTTGCCAAAGTGGCCCCTATTACACATGGGTACAGGGACAACTGGGAGGTGCAGTGGATAGATCGTCTACTCAGAACGCTGAAGCTCAGTGTTTTGATCCCCTGGCCACGTCATACCAAAAGTGAGTAGTGAGTGAGTATGGTTTTACGCCGCTTTTAGCAATATTCCAGGAATATCACGGTAGGGGACACCAGAAATGGGCCTCACACATTGTACCCATGTCGGGAATAGAACCCGGGTCTTTGGCGTGACGAGCGAACGCTTTAACCACTAGGCTACCCGACCACCCCTCATACCAAAAGACAGTGAAAGACGGTACATGTTGTTACCCTGCGGGCGTCCGGCGTTAAGGGGATACTGGTCGATACAAATCGGTGTACAGTGTCTGGTTGGGTTATTCGACTTTAATTGCGGCATGGTATCTCAGTGGGCTAGCACCATAAAAAGTCCGGACTGGTACAAGCAGCCACATACACGAGCATACACGTCAATTTTAGAGTGAAATAATCTTGAACGCGACATTAAACGCCATTTAACCTCGCCTTGTCCAAGGCTACCCAGCGCAAAGTTCCACACAGATTGAACACATTCTCCAGGACGTGTTGTCGTGGCCATCTTGGAGATTGCTATTGTCCTTCTTGTTTTCAGACATGACACAGGAAATCTGGCTGAAGTCTCCGCTAGGATCCCTCCCAAACATGGTGCCCACACAGAGATTTAAATGGGAGGTTGGCAACCTGACGACCGAACTGACCTACACCTACTTTAAGCAACCGGTCCTACTGGATACGTATGGCACCGACCAGGATGGAGGTAAACCTCAGTTCTTGTATTCCAAATACTTTGTTACCAGCTTGGTGGCACGGGTGGCCCAGGCGTCTAAGGCGGCGCAATTCTCTGTGCAGCATTGCGTCCCTTGGGCACGCCAGAAACCTAGTGAGTGAGTGAGTTTGGTTTTACGCCGCTTTCAGCAATATTCCAGCAATATCACTGTGGGGCCACCAGATATGGGCTTCACACATTGTACCCATGTCGGGAATCGAACCCGGGATCTTAGGCGTGACGAGCAAACGCTTCAACCACTAGGCTACCCGACCGCCCCACCAGAAATCTATGACTGTGGGTTCGAATCCCAGTTTGCCCTGATTATGCACCATACCCATGCTCGTGGGTTTCACCGAAGTGGTAAACGTCTGACAGCTGCATCACTTTCCTCCCACATGAAGCTGACACACTGTGCTATAACTGTAATACTGTAGAAAGCGGCATTAAAACAAACTCACTCACTGTTACTAAGTTTGTTTTATGGGAATGATACTTTAAGGATATGAGGTGAGGTGAAATTGGGTTTAACGTCGCGTCCATCCAAGATTATTGCACTTATATAGCAGCATGCATGCACGTGTGTGTGTGTGTGTGGCTGCTTGTACTAGTCCGGACTGATGCCGATTTATAGTGCTAGCACACTGAGATAACATGCCGCAGTTTGACATGAATACCCCACTCAGACACAGTATACTGACTCCGAGCCGACCAGTCCTTGTTTTAGCCCCTTAATGCCGAGCGCCAGACAGGGTAACAAGTACCATCTTTTAACGTCTTTTGGTATGACGCGGCCGGGGATCGAACCCCGGACCTTCCGCTCTCCGGGCTGACGCTGTAAAGGATATGAGATAGACAAGTGGTTATTGCATTTTCTCAGTGTGCACAATGTTCAGATCTCACATCCGCCCAGTCGTTAAAGCCATCAAGGCTGTTCCTTCTCAACACCTCATGTAGTTTTGACAGGACCCTTAAAATCATAACTGCAACCAAATTTGAATATTTCTAAAATCGCAAATTAGTGCATATAGGCAAAGCGCTTAGGTATTGGATACATTTCTTCAAGGGTCAAGTGGTTAAAATGCAAGTCCTTGCCGATTGGGCATCATCGTACCCCAAAAGCATAGGTTTGTTTAGAGGCCACTCTGACAGCAGCGTCAACAACATTCACTCACTCTGATTTTTTCAGTATCTGTGTTTGAGACAGTATGGATCCAGAACATCACACACACGGCAGTCAGTGCTGCAGTCTTCACCCCTCCTCCAAGTTGCGGAGACGCAGTGTACCAGGTGAAAATAAATTGTCAATGCAAGTGAAAATCATGTTCCCGAGGCAAGGGAGCAAAATGACTATATATCAAAATCCAGTTTCCACCCTTGCCGAATTGGGCTGGAATTTTTTAGCTCGTTTGTAGCGCCACCTGTGGCTTTTACGAGTTATGTCCCTTCTATGTCCCTTCTATTGACTAATCAGATTCCACCTCTCATGTCACTTGCATTTGCTTCAAACAAAATGGAAGTGCCCAGTCAATCAAAAGGTTCTTACTTCGCGAAGTTCATACAATCACATCTGCACCTTGATTAAAAACATGAAAAGATTTGGAAAATATCTGTTGACGCCGAGCTAGTACACATGCTTTGCAAATCCTGCAATCGACAAAATGTGCATGGCAGTTTACAACCGGATGTCGACTTCGACACTTGATTTTGATTGGACTATACACAGACTCATTAGTCCAGCCAAAATATAACTTCATAATTCCATCCTTGTTCGACTTTTGTAGTCAGTTAACTCCTTTGCCTGGGACGATAGAGAACAACCAATCTATTTTATCCACAGAAACAGATTCCACTTGGCGTGAAGGGTAAATAGCTGTGAACATTATATGAATGAACCACTGAAAATCAGTGATGACACCAGGTGTTCGCGAAAAAACTAAGCATGTCCTGCCCTACCAGTTTTCAGTGATGAATAGAGAGAAACCTGTAGACTTGATAACTATTCTATACTTTTCATTTCAGCAGGGCATCAGTTACCAGGAAAACATCAGTTAATAACCCAATTAAGTTCTAAGATCAAGCATCAACAAATAATTTATGAGGAGTAAAGATGTTCCTCCTTGAAAATTGAAAAGAACGATACCAAAATAATTTGTTTCAACGACAATTCAACCTCCATTCAAACATCCAAACCAGAGCTCCAGATAAGCTGCGTATCTGCGTAAAATACGCATAAAAAATGCAGAAATACGCAGTAAAATATATACAATCCAAGCGTATCAAATACGCAACGAACATTACAGATTCGCTACAAAAATAAAACTTGTGCGTATCATCAAAATATTGTGAAGTAACCCTGCGTATTCGATTAGCAAATCAGCAACTTATTTTGAAATTATAAACGGACATTCCGTCAACCTTGCCAAACTCCACGATGACAGTTACATCATGATCATTTGCCATCACACTTTCTTGTGGAAGTAGCGTGGTATTTTTTAGTCCTATAAAGCTCTCGAACCCACACGACACCAGTTTGCAGGGACTAGATGAATAGTGTTTTTAAATATTTAACTTAAATACCCACATGTGTAAAAACTAGTGGGTAACAGAAATTTGAATACCCAGATAGAATTACTGATACCCAATGATTTTAAAATGCATGGGTAAAATACCAACAACACCAAAAGCTTATCTGGAGCTCTGAAAACAGAATCATTGTTGCAGTGGAACATGATTTCACGTTTAACGATCTGTTGTGTGAGTGAGAAGGGTATGGTAATGGTTTTGTGTTGTTTTGCAGACTACTCCCAAACCCTACAGACTGAAAGTGGGATACCTCTCCTTTTGACTGACTACATACAGTCTGTAGCAATAAAGGCCATGTAACTAGCAAATCACCAATTGTCATAAGGAACTTTTCAATTAGATGAAGCAGTTCGCTTGAAATTGCAAGGGTATCCCAATCCAAACTGTGTACTGGTTCACTCTGACGGTTCGTTAGTCTGTTGTTATATGCCACAGTCAGCCATATTCCAGCGATTCCACAGAAGCTTGTAAATAATCGAGTCTCCACCAGACAAACCAGTGATTGATTTTCCTACATCCTCTTCCGCTCACCACACTCACTCTAAGCAACATTTGATAAGACAAGAGACGAGAATGGTTTATGAAAAATATTTATTTATTTGGTTAATATAAAATGATCTGTATAAAAATACTGAATATATATTAACAATCAAAATACTATTACAAGATATATAATAAAATCATGTAAAAATCATACATCCATTCAATAACAACAATGTGGAACATTGATTAACAGCATATAGTTCACATAAATAAGGGGCGGTCTGGTAGCCTAGTGGTTAAAGCGTTCACTCGTCACGCCGAAGACCCGGGCTCAAATCCCGACATGGGTACAATGTGTGAAGCCCATGTCAGGTGTCCCCAACCGTGATATTGCTGAAATATTGCTAAAAGCGGTGTAAAACAATACATACTCACTCACATAAATAAACATGAGCTATTGAATCTGAATTAGCAGTAGTGATTGTTGGACATACTTGTTACGCTGGACAAGCAACCAAGTTTGTGTTCATAGTTCACTCAATGATCTCATCTCTCACCTGAACTTCTTAATGTCCAGGTATTCTGCTTCTCTAGGATATCTAAATAGTTGTCGGACACTAGTTGTACCCAACAGCACCATATCAAAAACACCCAGAATATATTCACTCTGTATAGATAGAGAGTAATATATACTACTCAAAAGAAGTTAAGGACCACCCCATTTTTCATATTACAGTAGAACATGGATAGAACAAACAAACGGATACAACGAACTGTTACAAAATCCCTGATTTATCTCCTATATATTATATAAATATTACGTATATTACGAACTCTCTACAGCAAACAAACATATATAGCAAACTCATATCTGATCCCCGACAATACCACTAATTAGTGACGTGTATAGCGAACTGAGAAATCTCACTCAGTGTCAAGTGTCCCTGACAATTTGCTGTACGAATCAGTGGCGAATCAACACAATCACGGCGAATGAACACAATCAGCCGTGACGATTCAACAAAATTAAACTTGCTTAATGTTAATCTTACCTGTACATGTAATTGGACGAATCTTGTCTTTTAAACAAACATTAAATCACTTAAGATTCTCCTGATACGCAAAACATGATGACATCATTCGATAGTTTGGCTGATCTCATTGATGTATTTTCACTAATGCAGCCAGCAAACCAAGGCCAGAGCAAAAGCACCAACTGTACATCTCCCCGTATGTAAATCGTGAAATGCTAAATACATACTTGATAAACAATGTTCTAAAAATGTTCTATTTAATGTTATTAAATGAATGTTATGAAATGTTATCAATTTAATGCTATGAAGTGATCACTGCTAATACAAATCAATGCTCCTATGACGTGTATTGTGTTTTGTTTTATCAAAGATTGGGAACATTTCCACGAAAACGTATATAACGAACAACATACACAACAAACTGATTTCTCCGGTCCCTTGTTGTTCGTTATATCCATGTTCTACTGTATTATGGGTAATCATGCCATGATAGATCAACCATATTAATCTGATATTAATCAGGTGGTCCTTAACTTCTTTAGAGTAGTATAAGAGAATCTGTATTAAACAATATCAACAACAGTAGCTCCTAAACAACTAACGTCTTGAGCCAAAGTGTTGTAATTATAGCATGACACAGAATTGCAGGTTTCAGATATAATGTCCGATTATTTGAACGTAGACATGTATGCTGAAATGTTTTGAAATAATGTTTTATTACATTACGAACTGATGGGATAAAAATAAGATATTTTTGTACTGTCCTCACATAAGGCGATTTTTACGGAACAAGTTGACGTCAAACCAGGGGTCCGGAAACGCTCAAATGCGCAGGACATGTCCCATTGGGAATCTCAAATGTCCGATTTAAAATATTGTTTACTGGACATTTAAATTTTTCTGTCCGGACATTTTAAAAAACAAACAACCCTACCCTCGGGGTCCGAATAATTGAAGAGCGTTATCGTATCCCTTCAAAGACTTCAGGTGAATAAACAGGCATTACAAACTTGGTCAATAAAAGTATGAAATTTGATATAAAACATCACTAGACATGATGATTTTAACATTTAAAATGTATTTCCTGCTCTCAAAGGCATTGTTTTATATGCAGAGATTAAGATTACGTGTGTATTTTCTCGTAAACTAAGCCGGAAACGTCTTTCTTTATGACGACACAATTGTATCTAGCACCCTTAAGGTCCCTATATCCTGATGGGTCACATATAATGACAAGGGTGTAGGATAATGATGGTCGATGCAGTGGGAAGTCCACATTTGTGGGACAGGATGAAAACAGAAGAACAATGCTCTAAGACACAAATGCAATGCCCATATTGTATCACAAGAATAATCCTCACACAATGTTTGTGTAATGGATGACAACAGGTCCTTTTGTGGAAAACATCTTTCGATACCAAAAGTAACAAGCATGAAATATTCATATCCCCTGCCAATATGACATGTCCGGCTGTGTGCAAGGCAAGAAATATTTACAGTTTTTAAGATATGCTCCTGAAATGAGCACTATCGCCATTTTTCAGTCTTGCGATCGAAACAAAAAAATACATTTTTCAAAAATCCCAAAATATAAAGGCACTAGTTCAGCACTAGACATATCTATGTGCCAAGTTTGGTTAAGATATCTCTCATGGGTTAAGAGTACTGCTCCGGAAACGAAATGTTACAGACGGAAGGACAGCACCCATTCCTATATCCCCCTTCCACTTCATGGCGGGGTATAATAATAGCACTCATTGGGGTACCACCTTGCTGAGATCTCCAAACATAAATCAGGAAGTTTGTTCTGAAAATCAAAGTGTTGAATACTTTTCATATAAGATTGAAATATACAGAGACCCTTTCTCTTGATCACTTGTTATCAGAGCGTTACTTCTACACAGGCCCTATAAACTTGACTTGACCGATTTGGCATATTCCATCCTGGCTACTGAGCGCCGATGTACTTCGTCAGGGCCATCGGCAAATCGGAGGGTACGAACCTGAGCAAACATGGCCGCCAAAGGAAAGTCGTCACTGACACCAGCTCCTCCATGGGCCTGCAACCATGGAAACAAACCATAATTATTTTTTAGATATTTTTAATAGATGGAAGTTTTTAATCTCATGGCATCTTCCTCACTTAGTCTTCATTCAAAGGGGACGTGGGGTAGCCTAGTGGTTTAAGTGTTCGCTCGTCACGCCAAAGACCCAGGTTCGATTCCCTACATGAGTATATTGTGTGACGCTCGTTTCTGGTGTCCCCCACTGGGATATTGCTGTAATAGTGCTAAATGTGGAGTAACACCATACTCACTCACTCTTAATTCAAGAAAACGTCCTTTCATTATAGGGGTACATTTCATCTCGAAATAGACCTTCCCCACCTACACTTTATTCTGATGCACGGGGTTGAGGTCCGTGGGTAAGACTTTGGCACAAGATGATGGAACGAAGCAAAAAGTATACTGCATGTCACCGTCACAAGGCACAACCCCACCTAGAAGGTCACCCTCCTACAAACTATTGAAGATACTAGCAACACATCTATAAGTGCCTGCCTGTAGGCCCGCGGCAGGTAGATTTTGTGTTGGGCCCGTAGTTGGACAATGTCATTCGAACACTAATAACATCCTGTGAATTGTCACTGCTTGGGTCAAGACAAGAGTTCTACTCACTTATGTCATCACTGATCACACCTGCAAGTCCAGACAGACGCCACCCACGCAACGCAATGTCTTTGCTCTTTGCGACTGCGTCAAAGGCCGACACGAGCCAGCGCGCATGGATGGGCTTCATCACACTACTTTTTAGATCGACAGCCTTTGTTTTGTCACACGCCTTTAATTTTGTTGACACTTTCTCCACACTTTCGCCTTTGAACTACCTTAATGCCAGTCAACAGAATCAACACAAAAAGTATCTGTTGTTCTTAGGAAAACACTATGTATTGTTTTAGCGGAAGTACTCTACTCAGCGCTAATAAGCGGTGCTATTTGGTGTGTGATTAGATTAATGAGAGGTTGGATTAAGGTGAGGATTCCCCTGTAAACCCGACAGAGGACATTTTCTTTAGATATAAATCCACAGCAACACTGAACACTCCAATCCACACTAAATTGCAACAATCAAATGACACTAGCAACGGTACTAAACCCCCTAAATGACTTACAAACCTTTAACGCACTAGTCATATATCTAATCAAAACAGGCCTACTTGGACAAATTCAAAATAAAAGTACAACAAATAAGCTGCCAATAAACCCTAAAATTCTAAACCTATGAAAACACACAAACTCCATTTAGCCCCCACCCCCGTCCACCTTTTGCATGACATATTTCAAAATTCAAAATTTGTTCTCCAAATTAAGTAAGTAACCCTAAAATACCACACCCTCCTCCCCCAAGGTTGTCCCACCTTCTCGGACATACCCTTTTCAATCAAACACCAAATGGCCTGTGAACGAAATACGCATATGTCGGAAGGCGCACATTAAATTTCTAATTTAAGTAAGTAAATAAGAGGAGAGGGGTGTCGCATTCATATTGAGTCGCATTTTTGGCTAGGGGCCAACGGTCGCATTCTTTTGGAGACGCATTAATTTTGTGATTTACAGTAACTCATCTACAGTGTTAGAACTAAGTGCCTGCCCGTAGGCCCGTGGCAGGTAGATTTCATGTTGGGCCCATAGTTTCAAAGTTGTGAGGGCCAGCAGTAAATTTACATGTCTACTTATTTGTCACAATAAGCTGCAGTTTTTTACATGAGGGCCTCAAGAGATTAGTCAGAGCCTGCAGCTTCAAAAGTCTGTGGGTCCTGAGGGCAGCCTTGCAGTTCTTTTTATTTCAATCACTGATCAAATACCCCGTCCATATTGCGAACCAGACAGAAGCACATCACCAGAGAATACACAGTCCTACGTTTGCACTTTAACAAGTTTGTCGTCCGTTGTTTTATCTACGATATTTTGTAACTGTGCGATACCAGATTGTGCCCGTAATGTTTGTTTATTTAGTAATAGTGAGTGAGTGAGTTACTTGGGTTTAACGCCACTTTGAACAGTATTCTCGTTTTTCACAGCGTGTCGGCATAATGTGGGAGAAAAGTCATGAAGTTATAAAACAAGAAAGTGTTTTAAGTTGTAATTCATCTTACATTCAATATCTTAAATAACCCTTTAAATAGCCCTACGATTTTCATGAGTCTGTGCTAAAGCATGAGAGTTACAATTGTCTTAGCGCTAAGATCATTATTGGAATGTGGCCCTGGATATAATAACAGGTCATTCATAATGTACACTACTGTATCAGGATGACAACCTGGTCTACTGACAAAGACCTCACCTGGATAGCTCTATCCAGCACTCTCTCGGCCATACTGGGGGCTGCCACTTTTATCATTGCAATTTCTGGTGCAGCAACCTAAATATGTAGCAGAAGAATCAGAAAAAGTCCCAGACACAAGATAGTGAAATAAGTCACTGCATCAGCTTATTTAGCATGGTAAAGCCTTACAACCAGGCTATTTTGGAGAAAGGCTTTAGTATACTTTAGTATAAACTTAAATCGTTGTTTATGAAATTCACCAAAGATGTATATATCTGAAAACAACACTCACCATATTCTCATACACGTCCATCATGTAGGCAGCCTTCAACACCAGGTGTCGAGTCTGTTCTATCTCTATACAAGACTCACCTTATTCCCATACACGTCCATCATGTAGGCAGCCTTCAACACCAGGTGTCGAGTCTGTTCTATCTCTATACAAGACTCACCTTATTCCCATACACGTCCATCATGTAGGCAGCCTTCAACACCAGGTGTCGAGTCTGTTCTATCTCTATACAAGACACCTTGTTCCCGTACACGTCCATCATGTAGGCAGCCTTCAACACCAGGTGTCGAGTCTGTTCTATCTCTATACAAGACTCACCTTATTCCCATACACGTCCATCATGTAGGCAGCCTTCAACACCAGGTGTCGAGTCTGTTCTATCTCTATACAAGACACCTTGTTCCCGTACACGTCCATCATGTAGGCAGCCTTCAACACCAGGTGTCTGTTCTATCTCTATACAAGACACCTTATTCCCGTACACGTCCATCATGTAGGCAGCCTTTAACACCAGGTGTCTGTTCTATCTCTATACAACACTCACCTTATTCCTGTACACGTCCATCATGTAGGCAGCCTTCAACACCAGGTGTCGAGTCTGTTCTATCTCTATACAAGACTCACCTTATTCCCATACACGTCCATCATGTAGGCAGCCTTCAACACCAGGTGTCGAGTCTGTTCTATCTCTATACAAGACTCACCTTATTTCCGTACACGTCCATCATGTAGGTAGCCTTCAACACCAGGTGTCGAGTCTGTTCTATCTCTATACAAGACTCACCTTATTCCCGTACACGTCCATCATGTAGGCAGCCTTCAACACCAGGTGTCGAGTCTGTTCTATCTCTATACAAGACTCACCTTATTCCTGTACACGTCCATCATGTAGGCAGCCTTCAACTCCAGGTGTCGAGTCTGTTCTATCTCTATACAACACTCACCTTATTCCCGTACACGTCCATCATGTAGGCAGCCTTCAACACCAGGTGTCAAGTCTGTTCTATCTCTATACAAGACTCACCTTATTCCCGTACACGTCCATCATGTAGGCAGCCTTCAACACCAGGTGTCGAGTCTGTTCTATCTCTTTACAAGACTCACCTTATTCCTGTACACGTCCATCATGTAGGCAGTCTTCAACACCAGGTGTCTGTTCAATCTCTATACAAGACACGCCTTATTCCTGTACACGTCCATCATGTAGGCAATCTTCAACACCAGGTGTCTGTTCTATCTCTATACAAGACTCACCTTATTCCCGTACACATCCATCATGTAGGCAGCCTTCAACACCAGGTGTCTGTTCTATCTCTATACAAGACTAACCTTATTTCCGTACACGTCCATCATGTAGGCAGCCTTCAACACCAGGTGTCGAGTCTGTTCTATCTCTATACAAGACTCACCTTATTCCCGTACACGTCCATCATGTAGGCGGCCTTCAACACCAGGAGTCGAGTCTGTTCTATCTCTATCCGGGACTGGGCAATGTCTGCCTGGATTGTACCCTGAGCTGCCAAAGGCTTTCCAAAAGCGATTCTGCTTTTTGTCTGCAACAGATGAGGAATTCAATTTAACTATCATCATTATGATCCGAATAACAAATGTGCAATACACTTTCTTCTTTGATTGCATAATGAGAGAACTCTGTGACACTCTTACCCTTTCAATCATGAGACTGAGGGCTCGTTCTGCATTGCCAATTAACCTCATGCAGTGATGTATTCTTCCTGGGCCAAGACGACCTTGAGCAATTTCAAACCCACGACCTTCACCTAAGAGGATGTTGGAGGCAGGAACTCGTACATTTTCAAACACGACCTCACCGTGGCCACCTGTGTATAAAGAAAAGTACTGTGATTTTTTTTCATATTATGATACACATATCGGATTGAACAATCAAAAATCAAAGGGACACAACTCTGCCAAGCAAGTTTGATTAACTTGTGTCACACTGACTGATTGGCATTCCATGATCACTTGATTGGTATGTCATGGTATGGTAACAGATACATACCTGGAGCATGGTCATACCCAAAGACGGAGAGAGGCCTCACGACCTTGACCCCAGGAGCATCCATTGGGACGAGAATCATGCTCTGCTGTCTGTATCGAGAGCCGCCGGTGCTTGTTTTCCCCATGAACACGCACAACTTGCAGGCCGGGTGCAGCGCGTCTGGGTACATGAAAAGCAAGGGCATAAACATGTTTTCATAGATTCAAGGGTGTTTTCAAAACAAATTATTTTGACCTCAAAACAAAATTAATGAGTCATTTTATAAGGAATTGCGAGTTTTATGCCACTTATAATAATATTTCAGTTATATCCAGATCAATGTGGCAGCAACGCCTGAAGTGTGAGGTCTGAAAAGGCAAATGTTTGTTTGTTTGTTTGTTTGTTTGTTTGTTTGTTTAACGCAGCACTCAGCAATATTCCAGCTATATGAATTCCAGCAGTCTGTAAATAATCAAGTCTGGACCAGACAATCCAGTGATTGACATCATGAGCATCAATCCATAATGGGCATGAATCTGGGATTTGAACCGATGATCACAGCATCCTGGCACATCTAAGGGTCATAACTCTGCACAGAGAATTGTTTCAGGATGCACTTCAATCATTCTTGTGTAAAGGTAGAAACTGGTGTGTACACGTGTCTTACCTTTATACTTTCATAAATGGATTTACAGTATGCACACTGGTGTGCAGCAAAACTCCATACGTGCAAAAATATATTGAAATCATTATGAATAAATACTTCAACAAAAATAACCTAACAGATTGATAATTGACTCCTTTACACCAAAATATTTGTCAACAACAACATAAAATCTGTGACATTGTTCAGCACAATACTGCAACACAGCTCCCCACCCATTCTATCATCAGCCAACCAGGAAACCTAAATAGGTCATTTGTGGGCATGGCCGAGTTTCTTTTGTCTTTTTTCATGGAAACAATGGCAAAAAATGCTTTGTTAGAAAATCAAATGCCACAGAATCACTTTATAAATTTTATGTTCTTAAAAAACAAGCTACTTACTCGAGGTCCACCATTTGTGTCCGTTAATGATGTAGTAATCGCCATCTCTCCTGATGGAGGACTGGATGTTGGTGGCGTCGGAGGAAGCAACCTGGCAGATATAGAGGGAATGAACATATCCGTAAATACACAAACAAGTAGGTTCATTACCTTAGTATGTTTTTACTATACCATCAAATGTTCATCAGAGAGGGTCAATTTTCAATTGAATAAACCAGATCTGGCGCCTATTGAATGAGGATTGAGTCAGCTCAAAGCAGTTACATCACATTAATACTGGCTGAAAGTAATACAGAAATATGTCATCCCTACTATTTGTCATCAGTTGAAAGATGTGAGGTGAAATTGGGTTTAACGTCGCGTCCAAGATTATTGCACTTATATAGCGACGTGCATGCACGTGTGTGTGTGTGTGGCTGCTTGTACTAGTCCGGACTGATGCCGATTTATAGTGCTAGCTCACTGAGATACTATGCCGCAGTTTAACCTGAATACCCCACTCAGACACAGCATACTGACTCTGAGCCAACCAGTCCTTGTTTTAGCCCCTTAATGCCGAGCGCCAGACAGAGTAACAACAAGTACCATCTTTTAACGTCTTTTGGTATGCCGTGGCCGGGGATCAAACCCCGGACCTTCCGATCTCCGGGCGGACGCTCTACCACAAGACCGCGGAGGCGGCCTCAGTTGAAAGAAACAAAGACATCGTGTGTGATGCCTCAAACATTTTCTGAACCAAACCAATCAAAGACCATCCTCTCTGCCGCTAACCTCGGGTTCAGTCATGCCAAACAGGACCTGATCTGGCCAAAAGTAAATGCCACAATGTTCCAAAATTAATTCAAATGGTAAACATTTTCTGAATCAAACAAATCAAAGACCATCCTCTCTGCCACTAACTTTGGGTTCGGTCATGCCAAACAGGACCTGATCTTGCCAAAAGTACAATGCCACAATGTTCCAAAATTAAAATGGTGAACATTTTCTGAATCAAGGAAACCAAAGACCTTCCTCTTTGTCTCTAATTTCGGGTTCGGTTAAGCCGAAGCAGAAACTGATCTGGCCAAAAGTGCAATGCACAAGGCCACCAAAATTAATTAAAATGGTAAACATTTTCTGAATCAACCCAATCAAAGACCATCCTCTCTGCCGCTAACCTCGGGTTCGGTCATGCCGAAGCAGGACCTGATCTGGCCGTTGAGGAGCGGCGTGAGCCACCTCCGCTTCTGTTCCTCTGTCCCGTACTTGACCAACACCTCCATGTTGCCCGTGTCCGGGGCGTTGCAGTTGAAGATCTGCAAGTGATGAGGTGTGATGACGAAGGCATTGCAGCAACAACAAAAGTTGGATTTCTTTTTTCCTTGCATACAGAGGGGGTCCAAGGGCGCACAACATTCATCCATGTGTTTTATAGGTGATCAGATATACCATCGGTAAGCTTAAACACCATCACAAACTCATTTGGTGATGTTTTCAAAATTGTTTTCAAAAGGCAAAATACAAATTTCTGTTAGGACTGTTTGCATTCATCTAGCAAATTTACCTGTAAATAGAGAATACTAGAGAATACTACGCTCATTCCCGATAGATACCATTTTTACAAAATGAGTTGGCTTTCTATGGTATCTGACCAAAGGAAAGGGATTTATTGTATGATTAGTGTTGTGACTTATCAGTTTGAGTGAACTGTTAGTGCAGCCATGTACATTCGTTCAATCATAAACAAACACTTTTGGACAGATTTGTTTGTTTGTTGTTTAACGCCGCACTCAGCAATATTCCAGCTATATGATGACGGTCTGTAAATAATACAGTCTGGACCAGACAATCCAGTGATTGACATCATGAGCCTCGACCCACATAATTGGGATACGATGACATGCATCAACCAAGTCAGCGAGCCTGACCACCCGATCCCGTCAGTCGCCTGTTATGACAAGCATAGTAGCCTTTTACGACAAGCATGGGTTGCTGAAGACCTATTCTACCCCGGATCTTCACGGGTCTTGTACATGGTAAATGGATTATATATAATACGTCTGTAGAAGATCTATGCAAAACTAATACAGACGGCAAAGTTAATTTGATGGTGTGATGAGCTGGTTTCGTTTAATAAAGTGTTAATCCCGAAACAGTCTTGTTATAGTTTATGAATGAAAACAAAGGTTCCAGCATGAAGTATATTACTGGAATATTGCTAAAAGCAGCGTAAAACCATACTCACTCACTCACTCTTTCATATGTGACCTTATTAAGATCAAGGTTATCCAATCAGGACAAACAATATGACGTCAACCTTGTACGACACATTCGTCACGTACAGATTTAGTATCTCACATGTCTCTTCCCCACATACAGCATAATTTAAAAAGAAACACCTTTTCCAAAATGCTGTACCGGTATCTACACTCATCTCATAAACATTTCAATTTGATTTCAGAAGAAAAATCTCCTTTCAGAGCTGATTTTAGTCCAGATTTTGACAGGCATTTGGAAGTTTGAAGGACAAGAAGACATGAAACTCTCATGGATATTTTCCTTATTGTATTCACGATGACTTGAGGTTGCTTGTCTTCCCTTCCTCCAGGTAATACTGAGTAGGTGTAACAGAGTCCTCACAGACACATGATATGTCTACACACAGTGGGACAAATCTTTGTAAACTCTGAACATTACAGTTGTGAAGTCACTGACGGCTCTGCCACAAGAGCTGAGCCGACAACCCTGTAGGTAGAAACTATTGACGTTTCAAGGAATGGTTTTGTGATTATTTTATGTCCGATTCAGTTACTTTTGTCAGCTTTGATATGTGAGTGAGTGAGTGAGTGAGTTTTGGTTTAACACCGCTGTTAGCAGTATTCCAGTTATATCGTGATGTGTCAGCTTAATGTGGGAGGAAAGCCCAAAGTGATGCTGGTCTCAGACGTTTACCACTTCTGTGAAACCCACGAGCATGGGTATGGTGCTGACAAACCTAGAAACATAATCGGGGTAAACAGGGATTCAAACCCACAATCATAGGTTTCTGACGTGCCCAAGGGACGCAACTCTGCACAGCTAATCGCGGTGTCTTAGACGATAAAAGGAAAAGGTAAATTAACGTCACAGATGATGATGATGATGATGATGATGATCTTCTGCAGGAAGACCCAATCAAATGATACACTGACCGATGGCGCCAGAGGAACTCTTCCCATCTCCTCACAGAAGAATGCGTACTCCAGGTTGGTGAGACCAGCTCCATATTTCCGCTCTGGATCTGACTCTAATGGTAGGAACATATTCCACAGACCTTCTGCCTTTGCTTTTTGCTGTGGAATATGAACAAATCAGGGCTTCATACATCTGAATATGACACAAGATGCCACACTGTGCATCCTCCCTTCAAACCTGGAGGCCATTTTGTTCACATTTATTAGAAGAAAAAACTTAAAATTAAAATTAAAATTAAAAAATCTTATTCTGGTCACACAATATAATAAATACCAATAAATAGCAATTAAATACCAAGAAAATATCACCAGGATAACAAGGCTTTTTTGTTGTTATTTATAAAATCAAAATCAAAATTAACATTAAAATTAAAATAACAAGGCTTTTTGTTATTTATAAAATCAAAATTAAAATTAAAATTAAAATCAAAATCAAAATTAAAATCACAATTAAAATTAAAATCAAACTGCAGTATTTGATTATGTGCTTATTTTGAACATTGTTTCTTTATTCGTATCCGTGCCTACATGTCTTCTAATATTGTTTTTAGACAGTAACTTCTTGTCCATATTTAGCCTTATTTTGCATTTTGCATCTTGCCATTTCAACAATCCATAATTGGGAGAATCTGAATTGTCCAGTTTTTAATCCAACACATACATAGAACCCTTACCGTGAGCTGTGCAAGCTGAGGGTGGACAGTCCACCTGTTGGGGCCATGCAGGTGCTCAAACACCTCCTTCTCAACAGGGACGACATGGTCGGCGAGGAACTGCTTCATCCTGTTGTACAGATCTTGTACACGAGGGGACAACGCATCCACTGACACCGGCATCTGGCCTGAGAATAGAGAGTCAGTGGTGTCATGTGACAGGGTATGTAGGCCAACTTCCCTGTGTTCCTTCCACAGCCATAGGACAGGAAAGTGTGAGGGGTTGCTGAAAAGATCTGATCCTAGGAAGAATGTATAGTACAACCTTAACAGTTTCCTGTGTTCTATCTACAGCCATAGGACGGCACATACAGGACCTACCAACAGTTTCCTGTGTTCTATCTACAGCCATAGGACGGGACATACAGGACCTACCAACAGTCTTCTGTGTCCTATCTACAGCAATAGGACGGGACATACAGGACCTACCAACAGTTTCCTGTGTTCTATCTACAGCCATAAGACTGGACATACAGGACCTACCAACAGTCTCCTGTGTCCTATCTACAGCAATAGGACGGGACATAAAGGACCTACCAACAGTCTCCTGTGTCCTATCTACAGCCATAAGACTGGACATACAGGACCTACCAACAGTCTCCTGTGTCCTATCTACAGCCATAGGACAGGACATACAGGACCTACCAACAGTTTCCTGTGTTCTATCTACAGCAATAGGACGGGACATACAGGACCTACCAACAGTCTCCTGTGTCCTATCTACAGCAATAGGACGGGACATAAAGGACCTACCAACAGTTTCCTGTGTCCTATCTACAGCCATAGGATGGGACATACAGGACCTACCAACAGTCTCCTGTGTCCTATCTACAGCAATAGGACGGGACATAAAGGACCTACCAACAGTCTCCTGTGTCCTATCTACAGCCATAGGATGGGACATACAGGACCTACCAACAGTCTCCTGTGTCCTATCTACAGCAATAAGACTGGACATACAGGACCTACCAACAGTCTCCTGTGTCCTATCTACAGCCATAGGACGGGACATACAGGACCTACCAACAGTCTCCTGTGTCCTATCTACAGCAATAAGACTGGACATACAGGACCTACCAACAGTCTCCTGTGTCCTATCTACAGCCATAGGATGGGACATACAGGACCTACCAACAGTTTCCTGTGTCCTATCTACAGCAAGAGGACGGGACATAAAGGACCTACCAACAGTCTCCTGTGTCCTATCTACAGCCATAGGATGGGACATACAGGACCTACCAACAGTCTCCTGTGTCCTATCTACAGCAATAGGACGGGACATACAGGACCTACCAACAGTTTCCTGTGTCCTATCTACAGCAATAGGACGGGACATAAAGGACCTACCAACAGTTTCCTGTGTCCTATCGACAGCCATAGGACGGGACATACAGGACCTACCAACAGTCTCCTGTGTCCTATCTACAGCAATAGGACGGGACATACAGGACCTACCCACAGTCTCCTGTGTCCTATCGACAGCCATAGGACGGGACATATAGGACATAATGGTCTGAGTCTTCAGTAGGTTCCTCCGTTCTGCCGCCTCGCTGTTCACAGCACGGAGCGTGGGCTGCAGGTGACTTCCGGAAGCTATCTTCCAGCCAATGTCAGCATACATCTCGGCAGCAGCACCAGCAAACTTGGCCCGACTAGAACTGCCCTGACCTGCAACAGTGACGACATCTACATTGTCTGCTTCGGTGGATGTTGTGAACTCAAGGTGAGGTAAATTCATGAGTTCATTAATGAGTTCATGAGTTGTTGTCCCTACCAGATATGCCTCTTTTATACACTCCCTGGAGTACGGCAGCCATCTTGAAAAATGTGAACGCCATATAAAAATCCCAGTTTTCTATTGGTGGAATCTTCATCTGATAACAATAGCGACCAATCAGCTCCTGAACTGTGGGAATCCCCAGGGATTTTAAATCAGCACCTGCCAGACCTGTTGAACAAACGAAGCACAAAGGTATGTGAATATATATCTGGTCACTGGCTCCTACATTGTCAATAAACAGACAAATTGAGGAAAAAGTTAATATCACTCATTTAGAGAATGTTATTTTTTTTGTCTCAAACTATTTTCAATGATAATAATAAAATAACATCACACAGCATCAAATGGTCAGTTAAGCTAATTGTAGAGAGTCATTTTTTGTGAGGTTAAGCTGTCCGGCTAAAGTTCTGTCAGTACAAGAATGCAAGAGATCCTGCCAGATTAGAGCTCAAATATTCATATTACAGTGACGTGCTCACCTAGCACAGACACCTCTAGACACCGGCACCTACCTGACATTATTGTGCCTGACTGAGGCAGGTAGTGGGCCAGACAGCAGGTCGCGAGGTCAGTGACGGGGTCGCCCAGTGTGGACAGTTCCCAGTCCAGGACACCCAGGACATCGGTGGAGGTCATGGCGAACATCAGATTGTCCAGCCTACAACAAACCCACAGCATCCAAGATGTAGAGTTCTTTGTGAGTGAGTGAGTGAGTGAGTGAGTGAGTGAGTGAGTGAGTGAGTGAGTGAGTGAGTGAGTGAGTTGTGTTTAACGTTGCTTTTAACAGTATTCTAGTCATATCACAGCGTGTCAGCTTAATGTGGGAGGAAAGCCCGAAGTGATGCAGGTCTCAGACGTTTACCACTTCGGTGAAACCTAAGAGCACGGGTATGGTGCTGACAAACCTAGAGACATAATCGGGGCGAACCGGGATTCGAACCTACAATCATAGGTTTCTGGCGTGCCCAAGGGACGCAACTCTGCACAGCGAATTGCGGCGCCTTAGACAACTGGGCAACCCGTGCCCCCGGGTTCTTTGTGAAGTGAAACATGACTGACAAATGCTTACCATAATTGTATTTCATTAAACATAGAAGTGATAATCTCAGTTATCACATAATGGAAAGTGTTATCGATGTGATAAACCAGTCTGATTGACTGAACAGTAACCTGTGCATGCCCAACAACAACATGGGGAACATCAGTTAATCTCAAACACAGGCACAACAACACGCACTTGGGGGATGCTTGCAGGATCAATGTCTGTAGGATATGTCATTCATTCTGCTGGAACAAATATCCGCCCGGAGAGCGGAAGGTCCGGGGTTCGATCCCCAGCCATGTCATACCAAAAGACGTTAAAAGATGGCACTTGTTGTTACCCTGTCAGGCGCTCAGCATTAAGGGGCTAAAACATGGACTGGTCAGCTTGGGGTCAGCATACTGTGTCTGAGTGGGGTATTCATGTTAAACTGCGTCATGGTATTTCAGTGAGCTAGCACTATAAATCGGCATCAGTCCGGACAAGTACAAGCAGCCACACACACACAACAGTCACTCTCTCCTGCTGGGACTAACTTCAAGTCTCCTGTCACTCTGTCCTGATGGGACTAACTTCAAGTCTCCTGTCACTCTCTCCTGCTGGAACTAACCTGAAGTCTCCATGAACAATAGTCACTCTCTCCTGCTGGGGATAGTGCTGTGGTATCCAGTTCATGAGGTTGTTAAGAGATGGAATCTCTCTGGTCTTGCTAGCTTCATACTGTTTTGACCATCGCTGAAAGTTCCTTTTTATAAAGTTGCCTGGCAACATAAACTACCCATTTACAGTATTTTATCACTGGGGAGTTAAATGGTGACCAGATACAGTCTCCAATAATACAGCTGACAAAAATATTGCTGGATGCAAACAAGCAAAGTCATGAGTCAGGCAATCATAAGCAACATATGTCAAATCATTTGAATGATAATCATGACAATTTGTAGTTTTTTGGCTATTGTTTTGTTGCCTGTTTGCTTATATTATTGGGGCGGTCGGGTAGCCTAGTGGTTAAAGCGTTCGCTTGTCACGCCGAAGACCCGGGTTCGATTCCCGACATGGGTACACTGTGTGAAGCCCATTTCTGGAGTCCCCCGCCGTGATATTGCTAAAAGCGGCGTAAAACCATACTCACTCACTCACTCTTATATTATCCTTATAATGACAATAATATACCGATACATAGCATTAATTCCCAACAACTCATACTCATAGGGTATGTTGTTTTATGCCGCACTCAGCAAAAATAAGATTTCAGCTATATGACGGTGGTCTGTAAATAATCGAATCATTCCAGACAATCCAGTGAATTAAATCATGAGAATAGATATACATCAACCAAGTCAGTGAGCCTGACCACCCGATCCCGCTAATCGCCTTTTACGACAAGCATGGGTTCCTGAAGACCAATTCTAACTGGTATCTTCACAGCTTCTATAGTGTGTACAGATATAACACCCAGGTCAACACTTTGTGTACATTCAATTTGAATTCTCAGCTCCGTGGGGAGCATAAATCTCCTGATGGCAGTTAAACCTACCTTTCCTTCCGAAAGTGTCCAGTCCAGCTTTACTGATGTCAACCGAGTGTAATTTACACAGCACGTCGACCATGCTGAAGTACAGTGCTCGCACCTCGTCCAGGCTGACACCCATCTGACAAGGCATCTTGAAGACATGCCCCTGCAGGTACTCCATCAGGTAGAACGGTGTTCCCACGATGCTGCAACGTCACAGATAGGCCACACGTTTTAATATTTGTATGGTTTGCAAGTTATATGCTGATCATTTGGCTTGGGTGGGTTGAAATATAAATAAATTTGCATGTTAATTTTGCTAAACCTTTATTTCAGTTAGTTGGTTCAGTGGGGAAAAATCGATGCTAATTCTGCATGATGTTTACTATTTTCATAGAAGATGTACCTTTACTTCAGTAAGAGAAGGCTTTTCTCTCCTTTAGGTGTTTGCTGTGGACTTTTAACAAAGAATTTGATCAAATTTGCCAATAAATATTCAGTTACTCAACTGTATGATTTTTTTAAGTTGTCTCATTTTATGTTTTCACAGGTTATTTAATAACAATTGATAGAACGGGGATGGCTCAGGCTACTAACATGACTGAGTCATCTTTTGAATCATTACTGAAGATAGGTTGTGTTTAAAACACTAAACCATTTTATCCTGCTCTCTTGAAGTTTTTGTGCGAACAATAAATACAAAAACTCTGGATGATCAGGCCCATACTTGATTATTTATTTGTAATATAGCTGTTATATTGCTTAGTGTGTCAATAAACAACACCCAAACAAAATACAACAATAATTTCTTTGGCCATGTGGAGACCGCCTCCGTGGTCTAGTGGTAGAGCTTCCGCCCCGAGAAGGACTTCACCAAAAGGCGTTAAAAGATAGTACGTATTTTTTAACCCTGCCTGGCACACGGCATTAAGGAGTGAAAACAAGGAGTCAGTGCACTGTGTCTGAGTGGGGTATTCACGTTAAACTGTGACATGGTATCTCAGTGGGCTAACGCTATGAAAAATGAGTGAGTGAGTGAGTATAGCTTTACGCCGCTTTCAGCATTATTCCAGCAATATCACGGAGAGGGACACCAGAAATAGGCTTCGCACATTGTACCCATGTCGGGAATCGAACCCGGGTCTTTCGTCGTGACGAGCGGACGCTTTAATCACTAGGCTACACGACCGCCCCCTATGAAAAATGACATTAGTCCTGACTCATAAAAGCAGCCACACAAACACGTCGCTATATAAGCGCAATAATTTTGAACGCAATGTTAAACCTCAGTTCATGTCACCTCACCTTGGTCACGTGGACAAAGTGTTTGACTGCACCAAAATGTCCATCCAGGATCCAGGATAAGACTCAGACATGTCCTCCACATATTTACCTTTCCTTGTCACAGTAGTTCAACATCTGGGGGACGGGAACGCCGTTCTCCCCGACAGCCTTCATCACCCGATACTCTCGGTCCACTGCGTGGGCAGACGGCAACAGTGAACCAGGCTACAATATATCATATTATATATATTTGTATAATGCACTTTCCAATTAATAACAGCTCAAATGTGCTATGAACATAACGGATCCTTAATATTCCTTCGGTGAACGGATCAGTGTGCAATTCTCAGCTCCCTGAGGAGTATACAACCCAAGCATTCTGAGACATGCCAGAAGGATAATGGTCACATAACCACCTCCTCCTCCTGGGTGAAGAGAGGCATATAAAAACAAAGTCACTTGCCTCAGGAGAAGCGACATGTGTTACATGTGCTTCAGTGTGGGGCAGGACCGAAGCCACTACTCTCAGGAGTGAGTGAGTGAGTTTGGTTTTACGCCACTTTTAGCAATATTCCAGCAATATCACAGCGGGGGACACCGCAAATGGTCTTCACACATTGTACCCATGTCGGGAATCAAACCCGGATCTTCGCCGTGATGAGCGAACGCTTTAACCACCAGGCTACCCGACCGCCCCTCTACTCTCAGGAGTCTAGCTGTCGAAAACCCAATGGCAGAAAAAATACTGACTTACTATTGTTTCTTATTTAATATATTTCACATTTGCATCCTATTCATAGGACCGCCTCCATGGTCTAGTGGTAGAGCGTCCGCCAGAGAGCAGAAGGTCCAGGGTTCGATCCCCGGCCACGTCATACCAAAAGACGTTAAAAGATGGTACTTGTTGTTACCCTGTCTGGCGCTCGGCATTAAGGGACTAAAACAAGGACTGGTCGGCTCGGAGTCAGTATACTGTGTCTGAGTGGGGTATTCATATTAAACTGCGGCATGGTATCTCAGTGAGCTAGCACTATAAATCGGCATCAGTCCGGACTAGAACAAGCAGCCACACAAACACATACACTACTGCCTAGAAGTTCATTCCCCTTACACGCATGGGCAACGCGTTACGCAACCAGTGTGCATCGGGTTGGTCACGCGTGTGAGACCCGTGTGCAACGCGTTGCACACGGGTGTGCACCCCGTCCGCCACTCGTGTGCAACGCGTGACACACTCATTAGAGGGGGAACAAACTTTTGACCAAAGGAGGACCCGTGTTAAGCTGAACCTGAAGGTGGTAACAAGGAGAGAAAATTTTGTTATCCTGACGAAAAATGATAATACACATGTATTTCCTAATGTCTCCTTTCTTTATGTGATTTTGTGGGAATAACATGAATACTGTTGCGATTAAATAGATCTGTTTTGTTTTATACGACCATTGCTTCTAAATCCGATGGTGTTAAGAGAATACATGGTCCTGGAACATGTTATTGCAATTGAAATGCTTTTATTGTGATTTGACATTAACCGTCTGTAGTACGACTTTCAGTGATAATATGCGCATTGTTTTCATTGGACCCTAATTACTTTATGATGACTTGGACTCTTTATCACATCTCCATAGCCGTGAGGCTGGAAAAGAGCAGCATGTAATTAATGAGGGTGGGTTATATCATTGAGGATACACTTGAGGGAGAGAATACTAATTACCGTACTACAGGAAGAGACCTGTAGACGTAAGCGCGGGGTTGTGTTTTAGCTGGCCGTTTGATAATGGCCGCCAGGAGAAGTGAGCTTTGCCTGCGTCATCTAAAATAAATAATAAGATACAGCAGTGTTATTTTCACGGTCTGTTGAATAAACTCCCAGCGAAACGGTCAATGTATCTTCTACTTGATCCTTGATACATCATTTTGGCATTCACAATATATAGTATTTCAACGTACAAAGGAGCACTGATCTAAAGCAATTCCGCGGGAGTAGTTGTTACCTGTGCATTACTGTATTTTCCCAGTGAGTACCCGGATGATATAGCAGAAATCTAGACTTGTTCGCGACCTGTGCTCGCCATTCGTAAGTGCATTTTAATTGAAAGTAGAAGGACGTATGGAATACAGTTTTTGAAATGTAGGTATATTTGTGGGGAGCATCGGTAATGGTGATGCAGTTTTGATAAGTCACTTGCTTGGTAATTGTGCGATCTTCGTGTACACTATTTTGACTTGCAACACAGAGTAAATATTTCACTGAACATTGCTTATTTTACCGTGTGTATATGTTTACATTCAAAATGTAAACAGATTTCACTAAGGAAATGTATTAAACGCCTAAATATTCAGTTTATTTTACAAATTAACTAAAAAATATGTCCATCTTTATTAATATGATAACGAATTCCAAATATTTGTTTATGCTTAATATCATCACCAAGTACAGTTCTGTATTGTTTGGCTTCTTTTCTTAGCATAATTAATATATTGTGATGTGTTTAAGCTCTCTTGGTCGTCTTTATCATTTTTAGTCAGTCGGTTAAATAAATGAATGGATTATTCAGTCAATTTGTAAAATGACTGAAATATTTAGATATTTAATCAATTGCCTGAGTGAATCATATTTTACACATTGACTGTAACATATACACGCTTACAAAAGAAAATACTTGTGAAAACACCGTCTATCGCGCATCGAAGAACTTCCCAACCAAACGGAAAGGAACAAGAATGATTCTGTTCAAAGCTGCAGCGAATGAATGAAAACAAAATGCAAATATCATTATAACAACCTACCAAAGTTATAATGTATCCGGGAATATCAACATACAGGAACAATATCCATTGCGTCTGCAACTGTACAAAAATACTTATTCGATGTAAAATGTCTATGTGAGAATCAAATACTTTAATAATAATTATTTGGAAACAATATTTGGAATATATATGAAATATATTAAAATATTTAAATATATCGTTTTTAAACATTAATTAAATGTATCGAATAGTATAACCCGTGTTTGTTTCTTAACTGATCACTTATTTTGTTTCAATTGTTTCACATAAGTGCCAAGTTAGCTGAGAAAGCCCACGTGACAACTATTTTTATCATGTCCACGGTTCTTAAAAACATACATTGAGTTAGATAACAATGAACAACCAGTCAGTGTATTATCGGTTACCCTTTGAACAAAGTATGTTGTTTTTACATCTGTACTTCACGCCATGATATTAGTATTCCCTAGGTTTAGTAACCCTACCTTCACATGTAAACACTTACTTTTGACATATCCACTGTGCAAGATAACAGTAATTAATCAATCAACGTATTTCCTGTTGATCCTTTGATGTCTGGGAATGATCAGTTGATTTACAAAAAAAGTAAAGCAACTGATCATACATCACTTGCTGGGCTGCGACGTGCATAACTCACATTCCACCTCACTTCAAACCTGGATTTAGATTAAATAATTACCCCAGGTACAAGACAGACCAAATTTGAACCTTTATCGGGTAATCTGAGTGGTGCTACAACTAAGTATACATGTTATAAATTCATTAACTGAGCAGCAAGTGAATTACGACAAATACAGAAGTGTAGGGTTATACCAGAAAATGTGGATGACAACAAGGGAGTAGTAATTGTATCATCCACGCAATCCGAAATCCGCAAATGCTTTCACTCAGGGATACTTTTTTATTATCAAACTGTAACAATCAGGGGTATTTCCAAATGACGACATCCGATGAGCTTTCGCCGTTATTTGTCTGTTTGTTTAGGCTGAAGAAATTTATTACCATGCGCCCTTTGTTGAAATCTTCATAGATCACGGGTACCCAATCAGTTTTCAAAAATGCGTAAGTTTATTTAGCTGTCCTTGCAGACTGGTAGCCCAGTCTCTTGTCACGCTCGGTTGCGTTAACGAGCAAATTGACTCACGGCAGCTAGTAAGCCCAAGCGGAATTCCAAAGGTCGTGTTACCTGAAGAATCAACCTTCATTTGCGAAATATCTACTGCTCTCAAAATCAATATTTCTCCCAATACTAAAAGTCAGAACTTTCTAACCAAGGAGTACCAGTTGAAACTGATCGATGGCTGAACATTCCGAGGGAAGACAACCAGTGTCCACTCTGTGATTCTATCGCTGTGGGAGATGAATTGCATTATATATTCCGATGTGAAGCTTTCCACCAACGGCGATATGAACTCTTAAATAAGCAATATCTTAAGTTTCCAAACATTTAAGAAAATTATGACCACTAACAGTGTAAGAAATCTAAAAGGCCTATCTAAATTCCTTAACAATGTGTACAATACAATTGGTAAATTGTATTAGTATCCACGTATCCTATTTTTATTAAATTGTACATAATAAAAATTGTAGATAATTGTATGTCATGTTATTCTAAGAATAAATGAGTTTGAGTCCGACACCCGAGAAGAAGCCAGAGATTAGTGCCCCTTTTTGAATAGTTTACAATCATGTGTTTTACGGTTAGCTGTGTTGGCTTAAACGTATTTTTATTTCAAAAGAAATCTGGATCGGTAAACAAGCAAAACTTGCTTATGTAATACCTCTCCAGGTAACAACTTAACAACAGCTGGATATATATAAGAGAGTGGTGAACATAAACATACAAAATGCACAAGTGAAATACACGAAGCCAATACACTGAAGCAAGTGGGGTCGGTGAAATAAGGTAATGCAGTTTTCCTTTACTACATGCATAAAATTAAGCTACTCAAACCTTTTGTTTTTGACAATGAGGTCGTGAACTGATTTAAGAAGAGTCATGTTTGTAGAACTGCTTAACTACTGCCATGTAATATCATTTTTAGACCATACCCATGTGTGTAGAAATACACAGTGTTTCTGATATTATCGTATTTTTTAACAGTTATAGAAAAAGTGAATTGCATCTTCAAGGTGATATCCACAAGTGCAGTCTGGTATGTCTGATACATGTCGTCTAAACTTATCAGCGTTTAAGTCACTGCAGCCGAGCCTAAGGCGACAGTGGACAATTTGGCATGATCTATGAAAATATTTGAAGTCAAAATTATTAATAATTGCATCAGAACGATTAATTAAGGATTTGATTTCTTTTAATGAGCGAGCATTAGTTACTTCATCGGATAGAGGGTTCCGCAGGTTGATCATATCCAGAAGAAATGATAATAAGCATAGGACTGTGTTCTACATTTGATTGTTTGTATGTTGAATCTTTTTCTAAGGTTATATTTGCTGTTATCAGAGAATTGAATATACACTTTTCAAATATTTTGGCTAAGCAACTTGTGAGTGCTACAAGTCTATAATTTGAGCATTCATGTTCATCGCTGACACTGACACCGCATCAGCCCGGCAGTGGACTTGACACAATTATTTGCGCACCGATTATATAACTCCTACAGACAGGTGGGGTGGTTGTTCAAAGCGAAACGGACGACCCCGTCTGTTATCTAATAAATGTTGTGCGGCGCCTTTGATCTTGCCTCCAACCATACACCTTATAGTAGTAAACGACGATCAGGATGGCCTGGAAATAAACACGATTCTGTCTGCCCAGTGCATCCACAATTAACTATAATGCAATTGCACTTCTTTATTTAATCATTACGCTTTTTTACCCTAATAGTACAAGTGCTTCCCCGTGTGCGAGATAGGCTTAAGTCGGAAAGCGCACGTTAAATCTCCGAGGTACCTATCTACCAGAACTCTATTTGCTATTCTGGCCATACATAAATATATGTAAGTTACGTACATGGGGAGGCTAGATTATTTACAGCTTACAGCAATATAGTGCAAATATTATGTTCAATAAAAGAAAACGTTGATAGATCTATAACACACTTTTTGTACTATTAAACCAACTGTGGACTTTTAAGACATTTTCGCTTATTGTAATAACATCTAGCTAACCAATCATGTCTATCTCTGAAATCCACAAGCATAGTTGCTGTCAAACCTAAAAAACATATTCAGGGAGGTCAGTTTTGACTTGCCAAGCACCTTAAGGTGAGTTTATTTTTAAACTGTCAAAAGCGATTGTCCCTTCAATACTAGTATATGTCTGGAAGCTGTCTCTCGGACTGTTATGAGTTGTGATGTATTTTATTATATAACTGGGGAATGTTCAAATTAGTTACTGTCATTTAATCCAACGTTCTAACTGTCAACGGTCTCAACAGGATCATAGGTTTGGTTATATATCTCCTCCCTGTCTCTATGTCTTAAGTTGTTAATCGGTAACTGCGGTCCAAATGTATCAACTTATTCATCTATTGTTGCAAACTTGACTGATTTAAACATATCTTATTGATCATGAACTACTCAGTCAGTCAAGCACCTGTATCAGAAATGTAAAACCAGCCATGTTTCATGTAGTCCCAATATCACTGAAAAATGCCGATGTAACGTGACAAATAAATTTACTCACAGACAATATATTTTTCGTGAGAGTGAAGCACAATTTTATTAAAGTTTTATTAACAATTTTAATAAACTATAATAATATTAATATTAAAATTCATCATCACTTGCCAAGTTTATGAAAATGTCCCCATTTGGGAGATGTCACATATAAACAAGGATTCGAACTAAGTTTGATCGTCTTTGACACTGAGGTTTATCCCCACTTTGCCAGCAAACTGCAGAAGATTAACAGTGAGTGAGTGAGCATCGTTTCTATGTTTATACATGAAAAGATGTCATGCCAAAAACGCTCACAGTAGTTAGTAAGTAAACTCACGACCTGTCATGACCTGGTTGAGTGACTTCCTCAAATCAACGTGAAAGGATTACCCACAGAGAAAGAAAGGATTAAAGTCACCCATAAATCTTATCCTAACGTAGTACTCCAACTTCTAAATGCCTCTCAAAGAAGGATTAAAATCCTAAAGATATCCTATCTACGTGGTATAGGTACTCACAACCTCTAATAATAAACTGTTACGTTTGGTATCCCCAGCAATACTCACTAAGGTCATTGGGCAAATGTAAAAATCACAAACCCTAACGAGATTCTGTCTACATGGTCACACCCGGTGATTGTGAAGATCTCAAATTTTATCAACAGTCAGACAGCATGGCTGTTCATATTCATTTACAACATCCTCTTATAATTAGTATAAAAGTGTCCCACACAAAACCTTCTTTTATTTATTTTTCAAAATACAACACAGAAAGTGGGGTGTGGGCAAATGGGACATATTCCTACGTGAAATAATGAGACATTAGTAGTGGTGACGGCTATGTCATAATTGAACTGTCTAAAGCATAAATTTGGCGAACGAAAAACGTTATATTTGCAATCAAATGGAATGACTCGTGTGGGCAAATGAATATGTTCGCAATCCACAAACAATTATTTTATTAATGGCGAACATTTACCAACCCGCGACAATCGTGTCAACACGGGGCTTCCCTTAGCAATAAACTCGCATCTAAATTCACTACTGTTCTACTGTCGGCTAGCCACAATGGCTAGACTGGACCCTAGTGGAATGGTTCATGCCATAAAAGTCTAGCAACCGAACACTAATTAAGATGGGCTGACCTTGTATTTACGGTCTGGTGAACACAGCTCAATGGCCGCTCATTAACTCAAATTTCACATCTCACTGTTTTGTTTTATCTCACTATTCATTTGATAAATTTGTCAACTTCAACTGGAACCCGGTCCCGTGTTACACGCGTGGCACATGCGATGCACACCCGTTGCAAACCCGTGTCCAACGGGTGCTCACCCCGTGTGCAACCCGTTGAGCACCTGTGTCACATGCGTGTTACACGCGTTCTCAACGCGTGTTAGGGGAATGAACTTTTAGGCAGTAGTGTACACGTACATGCACGTCGCTATATAAGTGCAATAATCTTGGACGCGACGTTAAACCCCATTTCACCTCACCTCACCTATTCATAGCTTTTCCATGGCATAGCACCCTTTTTATATAAATCTGTGCATTAAAATTGTTTTGATGCTACATTATATGTTGTGTAATGATATCGGTCATATATTTACAACATGCTTCCCGCAAAAAGTGACTATGCTTATCGTAAGAGGCAAGTAATCGGGTGGTCAGACTCGCTGACTTGGTTGATGCATGTCATTGTATCCCAATAGCGTGGATCGATGCTCATGATGTCAATCACTGGATTGTCTGGACCAGACTTGATTATTTGCAGACCGCCGTCATATAGCCAGAATATTGCTGAATGCGGCGTTAAACAACAAACAAACATATATTTACAAATCCCTTACTTGCATAAAGCACAATCAATAACATTCAACAGTGCAGTAGTTGAATGTAACAGTGAATGTAATAGTGTTCTGAAAATGGGTTCTTCCCAAACTTCTGTTTAGAACTTTTGTTCCACAGGATCTCACACTCCGGCGCAGTGGTGACTTCACATAACACCACTGCCACAGGCTAATTTGCATATCACGTGACCAGACTTTCTCTTGTTTGTAAACAAACACGCTTTTTCAGAAATCAGAATAGAACAGACTAATATAAGTATTTGGGAGCGCTTTACATATTGTTTTGCATAATTTATATAAATATGCTACCACTGCGACAGTGAGTTGCATGACAATACATATATACACATCAAAGTGACCCTATTGCTAGCTCTCCGTAGGGTTTCGATGACAGCACTTGGAGCCGTACAACCAATGTAAACATAAGATAACTACGCAAATGGAAATAGTTTTTCACGATTTAAGATATTTTCTTAATGATAGTTAACCATTCTATGACATATGTTTATCTATATATGTAGACTGTGTAAGATGTGACGAATCGTCACATGGCGCTGGCCTGTGGCAGAGGTACTATGCTGGTCGAATGGAACTCTGGGTAGGAGAGTGGTTCGATCTATTCCAGCCAGGACTACTTTCTCAGAGGAACTACTTGTTCACATGAATTCCAGTGGTTCCCCATGGTCAGCAACTTGTGCTACCCTCACAGACTATCCTCGCAGACTACCCTCACAGACTACCCTCACAGACTACCCTCACAGACTATCCTCACAGACTACCCTCACAGACTATCCTCACAGACTACCCTCACAGACTATCCTCAGACTATCCTCACAGACTACCCTCACAGACTATCCTCACAGACTAGCCACTGTGAACCCCTGATCACTATCTTTGCTTTGTGGGGGCACGGGTGGCCCAGTCGTCTAAGGCGCCACAATTCGCTGTGCAGAGTTGCGTCCCTTGGGCACGCCGGAAACCTATGATTGTAGGTTTCGAATCCGGGTTAGCCCCAATTATGTTTCTAGGTTTGTCAGCACCATACCCGTGCTCATGGGTTTCACCGAAGTGGTCAACGTCTGAGACCTGCATCACTTCGAGCTTTCCTCCCACATTATCTGACAGGCCGCAATATAACTGGAATACTGTTAAAAGCGGTGTTAAACCCAACTCACTCACTCTTTGATTTGCTCTTACAGCAACCAAATAAGATCAACAATTCTACTAAATGCAGCGCTACATTTCCATGATCCACTTACCGGCTTCTTCCTCAGCACTAACTTCTTGCCGCCATATTGTACCAGATATGTTGGATTGCTCTGGCCGTGTTCAAAATTCTTGATGACCGGCAAGTCTGTGGACAAAGGGTGATACTTCAAACAAGGGGGGTGGTCGGGTAGCCTAGTGGTTAAAGTTCGCTCATCACGCTGAAGACCCGGGTTTGATTCCCGACATGGGTACAATGTGCAGAGCTCCAGATAAGCTGCGTATCTGCGTGAAATACGCATCAGAAATGCAGAAATACGCAGTAAAATATAATCCAAGCGTATCAAATACGCAACGAACATTACAGATACGCTACAAAAATAAAAAATTTTGCGTATCATCAAAGTATTGTGAAGTAACCCTGCGTATTCGATTAGCAAATCAGCAACTTATTTTGAAATTATAAACGGGCATTCCGTCAACCTTGCCAAACTCCACAATGACAGTTACATCCTGATCATTAGCCATCACACTTTCTAGTGGAAGTATCGTGGTATTTTTGAGTCCTATAAAGCTCTCGAACCCACACGACACCAGTTTGCAGGGACTAGATGAATAGTGTTTTTAAATATTTAACTTAAATACCCACATGTGTAAAAACTAGTGGGTAACAGAAATTTGAATACGCAGATAGAATTACTGATACCCAATGATTTTAAAATGCATGGGTAAAATACCCACAACACCAAAAGCTTATCTGGAGCTCTGAATGTGTGAAGCCTATTTCGTGTGTCCCCCGCCGTGATATTGCTGGAATATTGCTAAAAGCGTCGTAAAACCACACTCACTCACTACAAACTAGGCATTGGCAGATCCAGGAGGCATTAAGGGGTTCAGTTGTGTAGCGTGTGGAGGCCATACTATTTCCGAGTCTCGTGATGGGAACTGAACCATGGGTGTTTTGATCTAGGGTCGGACGTTCTGTCCACATCAACAAAAAGATTAACTATACGCTACAGTGTCAATGTTAACTATTGATGTTAAGCTGTCAACAATGTATTGCCATCGGACAATGGATGACTGCGATGTGTCGAAAGTTGTTACACCCCTTCTAGAAACAATCATCACAGTGAGTGAGTGATTGAGTGAGTGAGTGAGTGAGTGAGTGCAGCTTTGAACAATATTTCAGTCATATCACATCAGCTTGATGACGAGGAGAAAAAACAGGATGTAGGTGTTTCCCATTTGGCGAAACACATTAGGATGGGCATGGTGCAGAGAGAGCAAGAATAATTTTCATTTCTGAGATTTGGGCCCATGATTAGCTGATCCTTGCGCTGTGGTACCTCTTCCCAAGGAAAGAGATTAACTGAATTTAAAAGTCCACTTTCCACAATTGCCAAACTAGGCTTGAATCTTGTGGCTCGAACGAAGCGGCACCAGTGTTTATTACGAGTCATGTGCCTTCTGTTGATCAATCAGATTCCACCCCTGGAATGTATGTGTTAAGTACATGTACCAAATTTCCTTACATTTTGAACAAAAATGGATCTGTAATGGCCACAAGACAGCTTTCAGTAATGTAATGAAATGTTTTTCAATATAGCTGGCGTGGTTTCTGAGGCGGATTTACAACAGACAAACAGGCCATGACCAAGCTTACTGGACTTTCGGCTGACCTAAATATGGACTTTGCCGTGTTCATAGTTTCAGTAAAATTCCATAAATTTTTATATTTGTTTAAAAAAGTTTTATTCATGTTTTCATATCTTAGTAGCTCATATCAGGCTCCACACATAAACAATCATCCCGTCACTAATACCAAAAATTATGAATAATGTCAGTTTTCGGCAGTTATACCTTTTATTGTATTAAGGTTCTGTTTATACCCCCCAAACACGTACCCAATGATGACTGTCCTAATGTTGTGCTGAGGTACTCTGCCAGGCCATGGACAGGAAGGGCCAGGTGATTAGGCACAGACACCGTGCCCTCCACATACCCCCTCAACTGTAGACCCAGCGCCACCTCTAGGTCACACACAGCCTTCTCAGCATCCGACACCTGGAATTAATAGTGGAGTTTTTTGTCAATTTTATCTTCTGATTTGTGGTCTGGCAGATACAGCGTCTGCCAGGAGTGGAAGGTTTGTGGTTCAATCCCCACCTCATTATCCCAAAAGACGCTAAAAGATGGTACTTGTTCTTACCCTGCCTGGCCCTCAGCACTAAAGATTGTTGTTGGTTTGTTGTTTCACGCCGCACTCAGCAATATTCCAGCTATATGACGGCGGTCTGTAAATAATTGAGTCTGGACCAGACAATCCAGTGATTGATATCATGAGCATCGATCCACACAATTGGGATGGATGACATGCATCAACCAAGTCAGGGAGCCTGACCACCTGATCCCGTTAGACGCCTTTTACGACAAGCATAGTCGCCTTTTACTGCAAGCATGGGTTGCTGAAGACCAATTCTACCCCGTATCTTCACGGGTCTCAGCATTAAAGAAACAAGCATGAAATACTCATATCCCCAGCCAATATGCCATGTACAGTTGCTCGAAAAACATTTTTTTCAAAAATCCCAAACTATCAAAAGGCACCAGTTAATCACTAAACCTATCTATGTTCCAAGTTTGGTTAGATATCTCTCATCAGTTCTGCTCCGGAAACAAAATGTGACAGACTGACAGATGGAGGAAGAATGGACGGACAGCACCCATTCCTATATCCCACTTCCACTTTGGCACTGGGCATAATAAAAATGGTTGGTTCGCAAGACCGTATATTTTGTTTCAATAGGTACCCATATTAATGGTATGTCAATGGGTTAGCACTATAAAACCGGACACACACACGGACACAGACACACACACATTGAATATAAGTGAAATAATAACGAGACATTAAAAACCCATTTTACCCCACCTCTTATCTGTCGATCTGGAACTACAGACAATCTCACCTTGATAGTATGCCATCCCAACCTTCGAGCTGCCTTCAGGTTAACGCCAAGGTCATCAAGGAAGACAATCTCGCCTGGTTGTACATCCAGTTTCTTCTGACAGATGCGGTAGATCTCGGGGTCGGGCTTCCTGACACCCACGCGTGAAGATTCCACTATCTGTCAACAAATACTCAATCATTTTAGAAAATGAGAATATAAAGTTCATTGATTTCAAAACTACATTTTTAAGAAGCAAGCCTCTCTTATGGTTAACTCTGCCATGTTTCCTAAATTCCATCGGGCCCAGCAAATTACCTGTTTCTTCATTGAAACTTGTTGAGAATGTGAAGATTATCTGTTTCAAGAAATTACATTGAATAGCTGTTTGTTGTTTAATGCTGCACTCAGCAGTATTCTAGCTATATGACAGCGGTCTGAGAGTAATCAAATCCATGCTATTGGGATACAATGACATGCAATCAACTAAGTAAGCGAACCCAACCACCCGATCCACTTCGCCTCTTACGACTAGCATAGGTTGCTGGGGACCTAAATTCTTACTAGAGTGAATGAGTGAGTTGGGTTTAACGCCGTTTTTAACAGTATTCCAGTTATATCACGGTGTGTCAGCTTAATGTGGGAGGAAAGCACGAAGTGAAGCAGGTCTTGGACGTTTACCACTTTGGTGAAACCCACAAGCACGGGTATGGTGCTGACAAACCTAGAACCATAATCAGGGCAAACCGGGATTCGAACCCACGATCATAGGTTTCTGGCGTGCCTAAGGGACGCAACTCTGCACAGCGAATCACGGCGCCTTAGACGACTGGGCCACCCGTGCCTCCCAATATTTACTAGAGTCCCCATGGGTTTGAGTAATTACAAATCCATCATAAGGCCATACCAATGAACTTGTTCGTTTTTATAGACTTCTTGGTCAAAATGCCATGATGACAAATCAAAACAAAAATACACAAATGGTATCCGGTTGATCTAAAGTCAATTTCCAAAACCGAAACCCTCTTAAACACACCAAAAAACAAAGATTTTTTATTAATTCAGGTAGATTTACCTAACAATTTGAGGTACATGGCCTTTAGCATTTTAGCTGTGTGAAAATCAAACTAAAATGGATTTTTCCTCAAGAGGAAATCTTCAGCCAAATGCAGCCATATACCAGTTAGACTTCTCGTAACAAAATCCCACCCAAAATGATTGTATTGAGAAACCAGGGTATACAGAAGTAACCAATTTGTTGGTTATATTTACATAAAGCTGAGATAATAGAGATACAGTCAAGTTTCGTTAATCCAACACTCGTTAATCCGACAACCGATGGGAAAATCAGTTCTAATTAGACCCGTTAATCAGACAGTGAGTGAGTGAGTTGGGTTTTACACCGCTTTTAACAGTATTCCAGTTATATGACAGCGTGTCAGCTCAATGTGGGAGGAAAGCCCGAAGTTATGCAGGTCTCAGACGTTTACCACTTCGGTGAAACCCACGAGTACGGGTATGGTGCTGACAAACCTAGAAACATAATCGGGGCGAACCGGGATTCGAACCCACAATCATAGATTTCTGGCGTGCCCAAGGGACGCAACTCTGACAGCGATTCGCAGCGCCTTAGACTACTGGGCCACCTCTGCCCCCGTTAATCAGACAGTGTCGCACTCTGGGAAAAACAGGATTAACCACATGTTTAGATTACTCAAACTCATTAAAATCAGATACAAGTTCTACCTCTGAGGACATCCCATTACAGGTCACGTCAGAACGACCATTCGTGAACTTTGACAACCAATGACATTACTAACAGAAAGTCGACATAAGCCACTAAGAAAGCAGCTTTCTTGAGCTTGTGGCACTAGTTTCAAACTGGCGACTTCAATCCCAGACTATGCTTTTTAAAATATTTTGAATCAGTCATACAGTCCGTAACAGTAGTTTTGTGTTAAGCTTTAGTGGTTACATGATTAGAAAACATATTCCGCTAACAATGTAACATGACAATATGAATATTTCATTCGTCATTTTTTAATTACAACATGTTTGTATTGTTATCTATCGTGTACTTGTCTGAGTTTCGATCACAAATGTTGATACTACTTAATTTCGTTTATCAGACATACTCGTTAATCTGACATAATCTTATGCAACCGACCATGTCGGGTTAAAGGTACTTGAATGTAGTTAAGGGACAAAAGATATGAACAGCAAGTAAGAAAAAAGTCAAGCTATTTCATCTCCTTCAGTAGCCTAAAAGCTTCAACCCTCAAACGGGCAGAAATACTGACCACATCAAATAAGGACATATCCATGGCCAGGGCAGTGGTGCCAGTGTTGATGTCATCAACGAACCAGTTGTTGGTCAGCAGCGCCAGCTTGTAGCCTTCAGCTTTGAGACAGTGTACAGCATCAACTATCACAGGATATGGCTGTCTGCTCCATCCAGCAAACAAATCTTGTAACAGTGTCATGTCAACACTTCTTCCAGTCTGAAAAAAAAGTAAGTGATATGCTGATATTTTGTTGTCTAAAACATGGCTTGTTGTTGACACTGCAAGGGTTTGAAAACAACCAAACAAGTCAAGATAAAGATTCATGTTAAAACTGACCAGTCTGAACCAAACAAGTCAAGTTAGAGCTTCATGTTAACACTGTCCAGTCTGAAACAAACAAGTCAAGTTAGAGCTTCATGTTAACACTGACCAGTCTGAAACAAACAAGTCAAGTTAGAGCTTCATGTTAACACTGTCAAGTCTGAAACAATCAAGTCAAGTTAGAGCTTCATGTTAACACTGTCCAGTCTGAAACAAACAAGTCCGGTAAAGCTTCATGTCAACAGTCCAGTCTGAAACAAACAAGTCCAGTAAACAAACAAGTCAAGTTAGAGCTTCATGTTAACACTGTCCAGTCTCAAACAAACAAGTCAAGTTAGAGCTTCATGTCAACACTGTCCAGTCTGAAACAAACAAGTCAAGTTAGAGCTTCATGTTAACACTGACCAGTCTGAAACAAACAAGTCAAGTAAACAAACAAGTCAAGATAAAGCTTCATGTCAACACAGTCCAGTCTGAAACAAACAAGTCCAGTAAAGCCATGTCAACACAGTCAAGTCTGAAACAAACAAGTCAAGTTACAGCTTCATGTCAACACTGTCCAGTCTGAAACAAACAAGTCAAGTTACAGCTTCATGTTAACACTGTCCAGTCTGAAACAAACAAGTCAAGTTACAGCTTCACGTCAAAACTGTCCAGTCTGAAACAAACAAGTCAAGTTAGAGCTTCATGTCAACAGTCCAGTCTGAAACAAACAAGTCCAGTAAAGCTATGTCAACACCGTCAAGTCTGAAACAAACAAGTCAAGTTAGAGCTTCATGTAAACATTGTCCAGTCTGAAACAAACAAGTCAAGTTAGAGCTTCATGTTAACTCTGACCAGTCTGAAACAACCAAGTCAAGTTAGAGCTTCATGTCAACACTGTCCAGTCTGAAACAAACAAGTCCATGCCTAAATCACATTCTACCATGAATTTGGAAATTACTCGATTCTGATCGGTAAATCAAAGGCTGTTAAATCACAATAAACTCTCATTGAAACAGCTGGTTTGACGTCCACGTCACTGCGGAAGCATATATTCATAGAATAGTACTTTTTTCAGTCATTGCCAGTAGGCATATTAAATAATTATATCTACAATTACAGGTTACAAAATGCAAAGTTGCAGTCACTACAATATTTAAAGGATGTGTGGCAATACATTCCGTGCAGAAAACACAATAGAAATCTACAGAGAGAATGTATTTGAAGTTTTGGGGACAACAGAGAGTGTTACCTTCTTCTTGATCTCCTGTCCAAAGCCATCTAGAAATTGTGCGAAGGTCTTTCTCCCAGTCTCAAGCTGCCCCCAAGCTGACCCGATCCCCCCATTGACAATCAGCCCCGCCACAGTGCCCTTAGGGAGGCCAGACCTCGACTCAAATGCTGGGAAAATATACAGAATAGTTATCTAGGTAAGGGGTGGTAAGATTTGTGTCAGAGACAGAAATTGCACTCCAATAATATTACACTTGTGAGCAAGAAATACTGTTTTAAGTTAGTGATAAATACATATTTAGAGGTTTTGTTTGTTTTTTGGTTGTTTAATGCCTCATTCAGCAATATTCCAGCCATATGACAGCGGTCTGTAAATAATCGAGTCTGGACCAGAAAATCCAGAGATTGACATCATAAGCATCGATCCCCGCAATTTGGATACGATGACATGCATCAACCAAGTCAGGGAGTCTGACCACCCGATCCTGTTAGTCGCCTGTTCAACAAGCATATTCGCCTTTTACGGCAAGCATAGGTAGTTGAAGACCTATTTTAACCTTATGGAAATGGTGACCTTGTAAGCAAGGATTATATCCTACCTAAATGTTATCCAGGGGGACGTTTTACTCTAGAGTATAGCATCTATAGGATTAAACACACTGGTACGGGGTCAAATTCACTAGAGAATTTCATCCCCAGGATAAAAAATAGGGTAGGATGATATTCACTCTTACAACCTCACTTTCCAGATGTAGCCAAAGTAGAGAATTGGGCTGGGATATAATGGAGATATAATACCCAGGATAAACGAGGATGATACTGCAGAATGTTGATCCAGTATATTTTACCTTGAAACACAGGAACTGGTGATGGAATGATGACCCCTCCCACATCAAACACAACAGCCTTCACCTTGGCTAGGTCAAGGTCAGACATTTTGTTGGAAGCCATGTTAGAGTCACTTTATCATCTGAAAACTAGACAACAAACATATGTGTTAATCAGAATGAAGGCCATGTTCTGTTTAAGAGTGAATATCATCATGTTTCAAGTGCATGATTGGAGTGGCAATATAGTGAGTGAGTGAGTGAGTGGGTGAGTGAGTATGGTTTTACTCCGCTTTTAGCAATATTCCAGCAATATCACGGCGGGGGACAACAGAAATGGGCTTCACCCACTAGGCTACCCGACCGCCCGTGTGGCAATATAAGGGATTCAGCTTAAAACAAGAGTCTGTTGCAATCATCTTGAATGCAATTTAAACGCCATTTCACCTCACTTTGAAATAAAGGACAATCAGAGACACATACCAAGTTTATTAAAAGCACTGGGGCGGTGGTGTTGCCTAGTGGTTAAAGCGTCGGCTCGTCACCTCGTAGACCTGGGTTTGATTCCCCACATGGGTACAATGTATGAAGCCTATTTTCTGGTGTCCCCTACTGTGATATTGCTGGAATATTGCTAAAAGCGGTGTAAAACCACACTCACTCACTCACTATTAAAAGCACTAGTATGGTGCTGTAAAACCGAGAATCATAATCAGGACACATATCGAATTCAACAACAATCAACAGATCCTAGCAGCAGCAAAGGGACACAACTACGCCACCTTTAGCAATATTCCAGCAATATTACGGCGGGGGACACATGGGCTTCACACATTGTACCCATGTCAAGAATTGGAACCTGGAATTCGGCATGATGAGCAAACGCTTTATCCACTAGGCTACCCGACCGCCCGTGTGGCAATATAAGGGATTCAGCTTAAAACAGTCAGTTTTGTTCATCAATTTTTGATAAATATTTCTTTCTTCTCATGAAAACAAGCAAAAGTAAGATGAGATGTGATGACATGCGCGCTATTACGGGGAGTTGGTGATAATTGGTCCTCGGCCATTACTGGTCGCTAGCCAGTATACGTCTTTGAATATATCTATAATATTTCTCAATACAAAGTAGGGCTGGGACGAATCAAAATTTACTACCCTGGTACCCCCTGTAGGTCTCAAGAGAGAGGTACAAAATGTCTGATTGGGAAACATTTGACTGTACTCTAAAATATATTTAGATACACGTATAATCCGATCTGGTCATGCATACACTGAAGTTGACTGAAGTTATATCATTATGCAAACATATAAAGTCAGAAGGAATGTGTGTATAGTCAGAAATAAATTTGCCACTTATAGTGTAACCATAGAGTTCTAAATTATTTTTGCCATTAAACAAAATAATCACATGACTAACCACGGGTCCAGGAAGCCCTGTGGGTACCCAGGTCCTACTCAGGACCCACCCGAACCCAGTTACCCGTCCCAGCCCTAATACAAAGGTATTTTTTTAAGTTGTAATTTAATAAATACTGAATTTCCAAAATAAGTAAAGGATTCATGACAATTTACAAATGTAAACCATACCGAATGAAATAAAAGACATTCATATTCGTCTTCGACAAAGGCGTTTTGGCCAGCACCCATTTGGCCTACAACTGTGAGCGTCAACTTCATGTGGGTGAGGTTGAATCGATTTCAAAGTTTTATACTATTGCGAGGCAACAGAATCTTCCACAAGGCTAATCTGCTAATCTTATTAACAAAAATGACCTTGGTCAAGTGCCAAAGGCCCAGTTATAATATAAATCATTTGCACAAATATTTCCCGTCAGTATTTGAACTTTGGACATCCGACATGTATTATTAGATTGCAAGGTACCATACTGGGCCATAGCCTGTCGACGGTAAAGACAAGCCCATGGCACAGGTGTTGATTGTCATGCAACAGATTTGTTAAGAATAGATGGAAAACATACTGATGATGATGTGGCAATGGTGTTACATAGTTGTTACTTACTTCAACGAAGATAAATAAACAGAAAACGCGAACTAGTAACGAGCTAACCCACCTCGCACTGATGACAAGAAGGGAAGTAACTCTACTGGGGTGTTGGTCGTTTAAATTTTCGTCAATGCATTTGACCCGATGTTTCAAGTTCGATACTCATTAGACTCATTTTCCTTTTATTATCTTCGTTTGTTCAACATTATTCGGTAATTTTGGACTATTTGGTCTAGTTTTGAAATTTCACCAAGTGACACCTTTAGCAAATTGAAATGCAAGGATAGAGATATCAATTAATGTTTTGTTGTTTGTCTTGTTTGGAATGCGTTATTGTGGTTGTTTTCTGTTGTGTTTCTGCTGTTTTGGGTATGTTTTTTGTTTTTGTTTGTTGTTGTTGTTGTTTTGTGTGTGTATATTTTTCTTTTTTTTCTTGCTTTTTCTTGTTTTCTTCTATTGCTGGGGTGTGTGTGTGTGTGTGTGTGGGGGGGGGGGGGGGGGGGGGGTAATAAAGTTTCATTTTTGTTGTGTTTGTGTGTTTGAATCTCTAATAAGGCACCCCTTTTCATTTTTTGTTATTTTTGTAACCACAGTTATGACCAGTTTAGTTTAACATTCGTACTGAATTAAATACATCTTTATATGAAAAAATATAACTGAAAGTAACATTACTGTAACAGCTTAGTGGGTTCCTTTCAAAAGTAGGTACAACCAGTTAACTCCCTTGAATTCAGCAAAGGGGGATAACTTAGGTCAACTTATTGTCAACGACGTAGAGAAGACGCGCGTTTTTATATTGACTTTGGACAATGTATTGAAATATATTTCAAATAAGATACAAACAGTTGTCAGAGAGATTCGCACATTTACCTTGACCGGGCCCATCTCTTTGTTTAGAATAGGCGTTCTTAGAAATCATTTTCAGTCCTGAATCAAGCGAAAGACCAGACGACATTTGTCTTGTGACACTTGTGTACCATCGAACTATAACTAACATCATTTGGATATCGGATATATTGTCAATCCGAAGATGAACTCTACGTCAGATTGCACTAATGGTTGGTATGAACTATGATGACATTCATTTCACAATTACGCTTACATTTGTTTTGAATATAGAAACATGTTAAGATCAGACAATGAGGACGACAGCAGACCTATGTGTGTTTTTTGTTCACTCGGAGGCATAGTGACACATATTTGTCATGTACAAAATTTTCTCACGTGAAGTATGTAGTCTTGTTACATGGTCAGTAACTAGCTTTGTTGTTGTATTCAACATGATTATTCAATAACGATATGTACGAGTGTATTGACGTCATGTCAGGATTAAATATAAATATAAAAAGCATAGGCTGGGAGGAAACGTTGTTTAAATACACACAAATGAACTGAAATAGAGTCGGTGCATTGTCTAATAAGTGTCTTGGTGTTTGATTTTCGTCTTGTTGTTAACGCCATCAATATGATGATGGTTCCAGTCTTAACAACCGTGGAAATATGCCACTTAATTTGCGGGAAAGTGAAATAGATCTATTGAGGTGGGACGTGTTCAAATAAGCAATTATTGAAGACATTGATCCAGTTCGACGCTGTAAACATTTTTTCTTTTTTACCAAACCTATCAATAAGTAGATCTAATGGAGTAACAGTACAAAGAGGCGAATTAGTCGCACGAATGTTGCGAAACAATATGTTGTATTTCCCTTTTTTTATACCTGTGCTAATGTATGTGCCACTCCAGTACATCTATAGTTTGAATACTAGTACTCTGGCATGTTTCCTATAGCCTGATTCACCCTATTTCCTGTTATCTAACTTGGAAGCCTTCCTCAAATTTAAAGGATCCTAGCCGAGGACAATACTACTGTTTCTTTATTAAATGACGTCATTATCACATTGGGGAATTACAGGTTTCTGTAGTAACTTTTTCTTTCGAAATTCAGTTCATCTCCGACAAAATGACACCCCGATTTCAAGAAGCTGTAATTATTTGTATTCAAGAATATTTCCATGTAACAAATGGAATATCGATGGTTCAGATTTGAAGAATATATTCCTAATTGTAGTCCTTGGATTAAGGGTTTTACTCCTGTATTTGTAGTACATTTTATGAAGTGATTTCCAGCACCAACAGTCCATTAGAATCAAGATAAATTGCCAGGCAAAAGAAAGAATACACTCATGTTTGCTGGTGGCCAAAATGAAACAAACAAGAAAATGGTATTTGGTGGTAATATATTTCATAAGGGTTTAATGTGTTTTGGACCTAAAATTTTCAGTGTTATCATGACTGTTTTCTAACGTTTTCATTATACTCGTTTTTTGTCAAATCCAGTTTTTAAATGATTTTTTTCTTTGGCCTAGACAAATTTATACTGACCCATAGGATACCTTTGACAGCATATATTGCTTTTGGTTAATGAGCCTGTAAATGTTATTTCTCCAGAACATCAATAACCCAGAAAAAGAATATGTCCAAGAAAAACACTGAATATCGGTTGTGAACTTGTGACATTAGCCCCTGGTGTCAGTCCAGTAATGGATTATTCATGTGCCGCCGTGATACAGCTTGAATACCTTGTCAACATTCCTTCCCTTCACTGTTATAGACAAGCTCCCAGAGGACCTATTGCGGCGTTCCATATCCACGCCCCTCCGCTGTGTGTCTGATGACGAGGATGAGGATGGGGAGAAGCCGTCCGACCCCTGGGTAAAGGCAGTGGGCGGGACAGGGGACATTGGGGCGGCATCTGCCTCTGGGGTCTGTGATCTGAGCGAGGAAGAGGTAAAATGCTGCTTCCCTGAAGAACGTATCTTGAAATGTGTGGATATATACATAACACACATAATGCATGTCATTAGAAACCAGGGATAATTCTTGGGTGGGGCCTTGTGCTTTTAGCCCCTAACTTTGAAAAAAGGCCCACATTTTCAAATATAATGGGGCATTTTAACATTGTGCTGCATGGGCGTACCACTGGAATATTTGAAATTTTCACATAAATGGCCCATGTCAGAATATTCCTATAGTTAACCCTGAGAAACTGTACAAGACAGTGAAGATTCGGGATAGAATAGGTCTTCAGCAACTCATGCTTGCCCTGAAAGGTGGCTAGGCTTGTTGTAAGATGCGTAAAACGGGATCGGGTGGTCAGGCTCGCTGACTAGGTGATGCATGTCATTGTATCCCAGTTGCGTAGATCGATACTCATGATATCAATCACTGGATTGTCTGGTCAAGACTCGATTATTTACAGACCGCCGTCATAGAGCTGGAATATTGCTGAGTGCGGCGTTAAACAACAAACAAACAAAACAAAAGAAACTGAACAAACAGTTCCGAAAAAGATGTTGATGTTTATTAATGTATCACAATAACTTGATATACAGTTATGTCAATATTACTAACAAAACACAAGAACACCCACAAAACAATATTTCACAAGGATGCATTTTCGGCTTGTGAATTATTTGTGAAATATGAAAGTGAGATGTCTATATGATTCTGTATCAGGTTAATTGACACATGTCCTAACGAAGATGTACACTCTTCAAAAAAGAAACGCACAGGCAGTATATAGTTCATTGAACCTGACTACACAAAAAATCCGGTATATAAATTGGATATATGTTATTGGATAATGTTGGTGACCTGATATTCGACAAACGGTGCGTCAAAACGCAGCCATTGTTGATTTGCAATGTCTTAAACGGCATTGTTTTCACACTTGTTCAAAAATGTCGTAGGAAAACAGTAAAGCAAAATGCACGTGCAAGTTATGGCATTCTAAACTCGTGGTAATGGGTATAAAAAGGCAAGCATAAGCCAAAAATTTGTCATTTAATTGTCAACATTTTTCAAGTTCGAAAATGCAGAGACTCAGCGCTGCCTATCGGAACATCGCCAAAGGACGTATTCAAAGAGGGGAATCGCAGTCTTCTGTTGCACGCCACTTCAACGTCCACAACACCATTTGCCGCCTTTGTGACCGATACACACAGTTCAATTCCACTGCAGACCGTCCGAGAACCGGCCGACCAAGAGTTACCACCCCTTCACAGGATCACTATATTCGACTGTTCCACCTACGCACTGCTACAGCTACGGAGACTGCAGGACGCATCCCTGGTTTGAGGAGGATATCAGACCAGACTGCCAGGAACTATCTTCGCGAGGCTGGAATCCGACCCAAAAGACCAGTTATCGTCCCTGTTTTGCAATAGATCCATCGACAGCGACTCTTGCGTTGGTGCTGTACCTTAAAGCCTTGGAATTTGAGAAACTGGAGACGAGTGTGCTTTAGCGATGAATCACGATTTCTTCTTCACCGGCGAGATGGAAGACAACGTATTTATCGTCGTCGAAATGAGCGTTTTGCCCCACATTGTGTACGTGAATTCGACAATTTCGGTGGCGGGAGGGTCATGGTGTGGGGGGCCATATCCTACACCAGGAGATCTGACTTGGTTGTGGTTCAGGGAAATTTGACAGCAAATCGCTACATGAATCAAATTCTTCAACCTCACCTTCTTCCAATCATTGACCGCCAGAGGGAGCTGTTTCAATAGGACAACGCTCAACCGCACACAGCTCGTGTCACAGTAGACTACCTTCATAATGCCAGCATCAACGTTTTGCCCTGGCCGTCGAGATCTCCAGATCTCAACCCATTTGGACACCTCTGGGATGAACTCGATCGACGTGTACGTCAACGTCAGAACAGGCCGCAGACACTCCCACAACTGGCCAATGCGTTGCAAGCAGAATAACGCAGAATTCCGCAGGACAGAATTCGTACAAGTATCCAGTCAGGGCCGGGGAGATGCAGAGCCGTGATTGCTGCCCGGGATACTGAGAGTTCAGCGCAACCATGTGGCCATCTGTTGCATGACAATGAACAGTTTTCAATGCATTTGTACAACGACAACATGTGACTATCGACCTCCAAAGTTTCATATTTGTATCTATGATATTAAATTAAATATATCGACTTTATTAGGTACAATAAATTTACTAAAAATTCCAAAATTAGAATATTCATGACAGCACACGCGTCTATACAAATATCCTATTAGATTATGGAATTTCTATTAAACAAAGTGTTTCACAGCTATATTAGTTTAAAGGTAGTTATTGTCGTTGTGTCAATGTTTCACTAATGCAGAGAAAACATCGGATTATCCTCAATTAGCATAACATTAAAGCTATGTAAAGTCCTAAAGCCAGTGTATGGCTTGAGCCAATAAAGCATGTCTGTTATCGCGTAGCACCAGTGCACATGGGAATCATCTCGAGCGAAGCTTTGAGAAATTACAATATTAGCAAACTGCATTGTTTTTCTGTACGTGCGCTTAATTACAGCCTGGGCCCCGTTCCACAAAGCGATCTTAGTGCTCGTTGGGATACGGTGACAGGCATTAACAGCCTGACCACCTGATCCCTTTAGTCGCCTCTTACCACAAGCATGGGTTGCTGAAGACCAATTCTCACCCGGATCTTCACGGTTATAATAAATACGAACAAGATGTTTAGCACGGTGTGTGTGAGTTTTGGTAAAGGTTACTTTGAATTGTATTTCGGTAGGCTCAGGGTCTGCTCGGTTAATGTGGGAGCACAGCCAGTGACGCTGACCGGCATCTTCCCGAGGAAAGGGAGTTAACTGACTTCAAGAGTCCAGTTAACACCATTGCCTCGGGAAGATGCTTTGTTTGTTTGTTTATTTGTTGTTTTACGCCGCACTCAGCAATATTCCAGCTATATGACGGCGGTCTGAAAAGTAATCGAATCAGGACCAGACAATCCAGTGATTGACGTCATGAGCATCGATCCACGCTATTGGTATACGATGACATGCATGATCCCGTTAGTACCCTCTTACGACAAACATAGTCGCCTTTTATGGCAAGCGTGGGTTGCTGAAGTTGCTGGCCGGAAGATGCGATGGAGAAAACAACAAACATGGGTACCAAGACAGGATGACTCTAGGCTCGTAACCTACTTTCAGCGGACCCTGGCATGAGTAACGAGCTTCCACAGCGACATGCGACACCTTAGCTACCGGAGAATGTCATTGGCATGTGCTTGTATGTTAACAGGACTCGTCCGCTCAGGGTGATGATCAATCGCGAGAACTCCAAGAAGAGACTGACTCCTGTCTGGGTAAGTGAGTGAACCAGTAGGATTTTACGCTTCTTTTGGCCATCTTCCAGCAATATAAGGACAAGCGGATGTCAGAAATGTGCTTTACACAATGTATCAATGTAGGATCGAACCAGGGGCGGTATTCATAAAAGAACTTAAGTCTGAAAAAAACCTAAGTTTTTCACCTTTTCTGACTTAAGTTTTAAGATATTCATGTTTAGACTTAAGAAAAATCTTAGTTTTTCTTATGAATACCGCCCCAGGGTCTTTAGTGTGGTTAACCAAGGCTTTAACCACAAGGGGTAAATGAAATGTTTGCTGAAAATAACCTACGAAATTTCTTTCAATGCCCAGATTTGAAACAATTCTTCAAAAGTACTTCATTTATGATAGCAATGTGTGGAATCAGCTTCAATCAGTAGTGAAAAGAGAAAGTTCATTTGACGTATTAAATAGAAAATACGCCATTGACAAGACACCGTGTTGTGTTTTTATCTCACAGGAAAACGGAAAATCATTTGCCCTTTTGATATATTCCCGGAGAGTCCATGACAGTCTTGACGGATAAATCATATATTCGTAAATTCCTCCCTTCGGAGCAGACCGTGAAGAAGAAACGATTGGTGCAATCGTCTAGAGGTCCAGTTCGCTTTGTAGAGTTACGTCCTTATGAAACCAAATAACTTGGTTATAATCGCCCTGGTAATGTTTCTAGATTTGTCAGCACCATGCCCGTGTTCGTGGATTTCACCAAAGCGGTTAACGTCGAGCGCTGCATAACTTCGGGCTTGCCTCCCACATCAAGCAGACACGCCGTGACCCAATGGGGATTCCGGGTTAGAAGAGGTCCTAACCTGGTAAACGCTGTAACAGTCGGCCATGTGGATGGGTAGTGAGGTTCGATGGCTTGGTTGTCTGGATTGTCTGGTCCAGACGTGATGACTTACAGACCGCTGTCATATAGCTTAAATATGTCTGAGTGCGGCGTCAAATATCACACAAACACATGGTACGCCGTGACATAACTTTATAGATATAATTTATTTATAATGTTGTGAGCATGCAAGCTAATCCCTCAAGGAATTCCTATATGACACTTCTTCCAACACCTAGCCTTTGCTTTGATGTACTAAATCGGCTGACAATAATAATGTTCAGGCTCTACCTGACCCCCGATACGATAGGATACACTCTATGAAAGGCCCGTGCCCCTTAGGAACTGTCGGTCGATGTGACATTTCACATACATTTCGCATAAGGCCTACGCAACACGACCCAACGCACACCGATAGGCGTCATCACACTCCTCAGATCTACAGCCTTTGTCTTGTCATCTGCCTTCCTTGCTTAATAACGGTGTTCGAACCTACACCGAAACGTCGCACTTGCTTGATAACGGTGTTAGAACCTACACCGAAACGTCGCTCTTAACTGTAATAAAGAAGTTGTTCATCCAGAAATTCTTATCCTTACTATCTGCCTTCCAGTTTGTTGACACCTTCTCCGCATACCAATCAGTAAACTGTTGTTGGTTCAATTATGTTACTGCCTTTGAACTTTCTTAATGCCAGTAAACAGAATACACATTTAAACTGTGTGTTGATTTGAGGAAAACACTGTTCATTGTTTTTTTACGGAAGTGCTGTACTCAGCGCTAATAAGCGGATGCCAGGAGATCAAAGGATTAAAATCATCGTCTTCAAAAGAGTATATGGCTGAACGCTAAAATGCGCTAATTTAATCTATAATTTATCATTTATTATTTATTTTTATTAGTCTCTAAGTTATGGTACATGTAGCTTTGGCTTCGAGCCAAAGCGTTCGTAAGGATAAGTACATCATTACACTTAGCCTAGCTTCAAGCAAAACATTTTCAGCGTTCAACACAGCAATCTTGCTGAAAATGTAACCAACCCTCGGGGATGCCAGATGAGAGTGTAAGTGAGTCACGTGACAGAATGTCGGGGCTAGAATACGCCCACGCCCACAACAACCTGCTTGTCGTAGAGGTCGACTAAATGGATCAGGGGTCAGCTGGGTGAACTCGTGTCCCAACTGCGTGATGGATGATCATAAAGACAATCACTGGATGGTCTTGTCCAGGCTATATTATTCACAGATAGCGGAGTGCGGCGTTAAACTGAATGTTTTAGGGGGGGGGGGGGGGGGGGTATTGCAACTGGAAAAAAATGCAGACTGCGGTCTCCAGCAATTTCCACTTGTGTACCATTCAAGGTCTTCCAGAATATCCCGAACTTTTTTGCTTATTTGTTAACAGCCCCAAGCCTAATCTTAACATCAGCTTCACTGCACGATCGACAGTTCAGCATTTATTTCCACCCACAGTAGCCACTCGTTAAGTGGCAAGTCATGGCATCAAGCCAAACGTGACTCCTTATCGGGAGGTCTACTTATCCATCGCTAGTGATGCCGCCCCTGTTCACAAACAGAATGCCATAGAATTTACTGGTAGTTGCGGATCAATTTATCAAACGGCTAAACCCACTTTTAGTGACCATGGTTAAATAGCGTTGCCAGTGCCGGTCTACCACCAAATTGTTTCCACATCAATTCCCAATCTACTTAAACAGTTACGTTGTTTATGTAAAGTGTAAATAATTATGAAGAGTTCCTACTTTAACAACGATGAATAAGGAAGGACTCAAGCGGAACCCAAAGAGCGTATCTATCTTCCCGATCTGTAGTTTTACAGTCTGTTATTGTCGATAGAGTCGATTGTATATATACCGGGTGGTCATCAGTTAGTTACAAGTTGGACATTTTGATTATCCGGAAACCATTGTTCCTAATCGGCTCCCCTACGGTGACTGGCTATTTGATATGATTGAAATAAAATACGTATTGACTTGCATCGTGCTTACCATAAATATTTGAGATCATAGTCTTTCCTTCTACTGAATTGCAGGTTGGAGTAACACTTTGGCTGACAGGAATGCGTCACAACTGGGAATTGTTAATCCTGGAGACTCGTATTGTGCTTTGTCAAAAACAGAACCATGTATTCTTTCGTCTGACTTATTTATACGTGGTTCTTTCTAGACCAGTTAGGTTCGAGCAGGTTGGATGTTGCCAATGGCTGTGAACAGGACGTAGTGATGCCAATGGTTGGCTACACTTTGTGTACAACATATATCCTATATGGTTTGTTACTACAGTACTAGTTTAATAATAATAATAATAATAATAATAATAATTGTCCGACTCCCCATTGTTCTCGGTGCCTCAGGTTTGGTACCTACCAATCTGTTGACTGACATTGGGAGAGTACCCGGGTTTGCTACCAGGAATTACAGCCCTTCTGACAATCTGGGTAGTGCAGAAGGCTGCATTGTTGGGGAATCTTCACATTCTCCGAAAAAGTTCTCGGTGGGTTTGACTAGGCAGCGCTTCCTGGGAGAAGTCCCATTCGCAGTCTGGACTGCGTGTAGAGGGGGCAAGGGCCCTGAGCTGATGATCAGCCTAACCAGCCTGACTATGCCAGGAATACCCAAACCCTTTTTGCTGTATTGTTTTATTTTAATCTGTAAATAATAATAATAATAATAATAATGACACGGACGGACTATATTTAATGCATTAATAGCGATTGGTGGTTCCTTCTCTTCCTTTTGTCTTTTTTTCCTCACACTCTTCCCCCTCTTCTTCTCTTCTTCCTTCTCTCCTTCATGCCTTCTCTATACCCCCTGTCTTCTCGTTCTCTGCTTCCTTCTCTCTGGGGGCGGTCGGGTAGCCTAGTGGTTAAAGCGTTCGCTCGTCACGCTGAAGACCCGGGTTCGATTCCCGACATGGGTACAATGTGTGAAGCCCATTCCTGGTGTCCCCCGCCGTGATATTGCTGGAATATTGCTAAAAGCGGCGTAAAACCATACTCACTCACTCACTCACTCTCTCCTTCTCTCTGTGTTTCCTTCTTCTCTTCGTGCTCCCTCTGCTCCGTGGCTCCCCTTTCTTTCTCTTTTGTCCACTCCTTCAATAGTCGTGCCACTAATATGAGATCCCCTTGTGGAACTGAGCCCTTTTGAAGGAATAGGAACCATCACAAATATAACATTTACACGTAAAATTAACAAGAGGGCAAAAGAAAGTATACACTTGAAAATTGGATTTGACCTAAAAATACAAACATGATCAAAATGTTACGTGGCTGAAAACAGTCGCCAAAACTCTGAAACTTCAAGGTCCAAAACACAACTGCATGTACGATTCCCGTATCAAATACATCACCATCGAATAACAAGTTCTTGTCTGTTTCATGGTTAGCCACCATCAAGCATTGGTGGATCCTTTCTTTTGCCAGGCAATTTATATGGCAGTCTTGGGACCATCACAGGCCGAGGAATGTTCGACTGCTCAGTCTTTTCTTGGGACCTGTCCCAGGCTAGGCTGCGTTGGTTGGTTTGTTGTTTAACGCCGCACTCAGCTATACTCCAGCTATATGACGGCGGTCTGTAAATAATCGAGTCTGGACCAGACAATCCAGTGATTGATATCATGAGCATCTATCCACGAAATTGGGATTGATGACATGCATCAACCAAGTCAGCGAGCCTGACCACCCGATCCCATTAGTCGCCTCTTACGACAAGCATAGTCGCCTTTTACGGTAAGCATGGTTTGAGGAAGACCTATTCTACCCCGGATCCTCACGGGTCGGCTAGGCTGCGTGTTTGGCCTGACTGAACATCTCATTTGTTCCCTTTCTGTTGCATTGTGAATATTCCTCCTGTATGTTTCTCTTAATACTTGTCCAGCTAATTGTGTCATTCATCTTCTGTACAATTCTGTTGACTAATGAATGCGAGTGTGCTACAGGTACAAACAAACCTAGAACTGTAACAAATGTTATATTTGGGATAACACTTTCTTAGTAAAGTACGGATTCTCGTACTCTTTTTGGGTTGAGTCCCGTCCGGGATTCGAACCCACACTGCCAGAGTGAGGCGCCTAATCGCCAGCACACAAAGTCTGCGATCTAACCCACTCAGCCGAGGCTTCCACAAAAATGAAAGTCCGATAACTGATAGCCTAGATCATGTACTTTTTCATCTTCCCGAGGCAAGTGAGTTAACTGACTATAAAAGTCCAGTTAACTCTCTTGCCTCGGGAAGATGGTACTTTTTGTACCCCTCTGACAAGTGTAAGTTGGCACGGCTCCCATGGCCGAAAGCTATGAAATCACAATGCCACTTAAAACTGTTTGACCGCATGAAACCAGCATTCGGGAACCTTAACACCATGTTGAGTATGCATGTTACCGAGTGAGTATTGTTTTACGCCGCTTTCTGCAATATTCCAGCAATATCACGACAGGGGACACCAGAAATGGGCTTTACACATTGTACCCATGTGGAGAATCGAACCCTTTAACCAATAGACTACCCCACCGCCCGCATGTTTCTGAAGTACGGCTTTATTTGTCTTTCGTGTGGTCGTATAGTGTGCATGGAATTTGAATAAGGAGAGACCATCGCATCACATCGGAATATCGTAAAGTCGCAACATCGCGCATATAGCAATATCGCTTCGTAACACCGCATCGCAACGTAACACTTCAGAAGATCGTAACATCATTGATCTATCACTACCGTGCTGTTTTAACCTTGATTAATGCTTAATGCAGTGGAAATCAATAGTCACTCTTTCGTTGTGAAGATGGGTATGCGTTAATATTTCCCCCCATTTCTTTCAGCAAGCCCTCTGCAATCTGTGTACTCCGTATCCTACTCGGATGTGGATTCGACAGGCAGCTCCCACCTATGCTCTGACCACGGTAGGCAACTGTAGACGTTGGGTTTTGTGTGTTTGTTTGTTTGTTGTTTAGCACCGCACTCTGCAATATTCCAGCTATATGACGGCGGTCTGTAAATAATCGAGTCTGGACCAGACAGTCCAGTGATTGACATCATGAACATCGATCTACGTAATTGGAATACAATGACATGCATCAACTAAGCCAGCGAGCCTGACCCGATCCCGTAAGTCGCCTCTTACGACAAACTTCAATTCGTAGCTGTGTAGAGTTGCTTCCCTCATTCGTGCCAGAATGCGGTGATAATGGGTTCGTCTTTGACCTGCATGATTTTGGGCTTTCCTCCCACTTTACGCTGTCACGTCGCGATAAAACAGACATATTTTTCAGACCATTAATACTCATTGAGATGGCTGTTTGCCTCGCATCGAACATCTAGGCATGTGTGTGTGCGTGCGCGCGCGCGCTTTTGTGTGTGTGTGTGGTGTTGAAAGTGTTAATAACTTACTTAGTACAACAAACTGAGAACCACCCTATAAAAGATGCCTTCAAAAGAGCATCCCGGTGTTTTCCATGTTCAACAAGAAACATTAACTGGCAGTTTGGAGCCAATTATCTCTGCCTGCATCCATATGTATTACCACGTTAATGTTCGTTGTCATGACAACATGGGTCACGAGCTGAATATGTGGACACAGTTATTGAACCTTTACGCCTCACGTAATCTAACTCATTGCCTTTGCAGCTCTGGGTATCCTACCTTGAACATGTTACATATCAAACATGTCAAGAGACTCGAATCACTTAACACATTTATCATTTTTTTAGAATGCGATTTTGTATTCAATATTATGAGTTACACAACAGGCGAACGTGTGTGTGTGATACTGACTCGATTATAAACAGACCGTCCTCATGTGTGTGACGCCCATTTCTGGTGTCCCCTGCCGTTATATTGCTGGAATATTACGAAAAGCGGCGTAAAACAATAGTCTCTCACTCAATCACTCATGAAGCTGGACTGTTGTTGAGTGTGGCGTTAAACAACAAGCACACCAACAAACTCCCTGACGGCAGCCTGCAAATACAAAATAAATACATGCCCCAACAAAATCGCCAAGTCTGACTGCCCGATCAAGTTAGTTGTCTTTTACGACCAGCATAGTTTGATGGGAGCCTATTCTAAGACCCGTGAAGATCCAGGGTAGAATAGGTCTTCAGCAACCCGTACTGCCGTAAAAAGCGACCATGTTTGTCGTAAGAGGCGACTAACGGGATCGATGCTCATGATGTCAGTCACTGGATTGTCTGGTCCAGACTCGATCATTTATTGGCCGCCTTCTTATAGCTGGAATATTTCTGAGTAACGAACAAACCTATGCTAACCCTAATCCCTACGCGCTTTCCTGTGCTTGGATCATTGTTCCTGTTTTCAACCAGACTCTATTATGTATAGGCCTCTGTGGCTGGAATATCGCTAACTGTAACTACACAACCCGTGTTTCCGTTCTGGCAGCATAACAACCATAAACTTCTGGAGGATCGGTCAGATCATGCATTATACCCGACCCGCATTGTAGTTAAATCTCACATCAAACATTGGGTTACGTGGATCTATTCTATTCCTTAATCCCCAAGGAGATCATTACATTTAAACCTTCTACTCAACACGCAATCATTACAACCCATTACAACCCCAATCCAATTAACCAGGGCCGCCATTTATCGGAATGCCTCTAATGTGCAAGTTAAGTTTTTTCCGATTGACACGCAATCTCAGGACATATACTTGGTACAATATTTAAGGGAACCCCTTATATTCGGAAGCATGTAAAGAAATGACTTTGTGGAATTCAATCTTCGAAGTAAGTTCAATATCTGGTCCATGCCCCGTGAGCATCGATGCAGGCACATAATCTGGGCATTTTGGATATCAAAGGCAGGATTGTCTCCCAAATCGGTGACTGAAGTTTCCTTTTGTTTGTTTTGTGTGGTAATGTCAACCGAAAGTGACCACGGTTGAATTCAAAGCCGTTTTGTACACGTAATACGTCTCATAACACTTCGACTGTCCCTATGTAAAAGGGGTGGCCCAGTCGTCTAAGGTGTCGCAATTCTCTGTGCAGAGTTGCGTCCCTTGGGCACGCCATCAACCTATGATTGTGGGTTCGTCTCCTCCGAGTATGTTTCTAGGTTTCTCAGCACCATACCCGTTCTTGTGGGTTTCACCAAATGGGTAAACGTCTAAGACTTGAATCACTTCGGCCTTTACTCCCACTTTAAGCTGACACGCCATGAATAACTGAATACAGGTTCAAAGCGGCGTTAAACCCAACTCACTTACTCAATCCAGTCTGTCGTCACACTCAGTTGCGTTAGCCAGGGAGTTGATTAACGGCACATGGTGCGCATTATACAGTGTGGTAGAAGCAGGAGTCTTATATCGACACTCTTGTTGAAGCCAGATCATAATGCTCCATTAAGAGACAATTGAAGTAAAAATCCATCTAGACTAATCAGTTAATACAGCGGCGTAATGGTCCGTTATAAACGTTGCTTACAGTGTTCCGTTGTCCCTTAGTCACCCAGGTAAAACCTTCTATTGAAGGTAGAATTAACGATGATATCCGCTCACCCACGTGATTCAATACCGTGCTGTCCTAATGTGCATGTATTTAGTTTGGGGTGTGTTGCGTTCCCATCAGAATGATGAATGTTTGAAACAATAGAAGCAAAATCAATAAAAAAAAATAAAAAACGCTAACACCAGAGTACAATGGGTCTCGATTATATGCCGATTGGGCGTAAAAGGCAAAAAAGTGGCGAAAAATATATGAATGCATTATTGAAATCAGTGATGACACCAAGTGTTCGCGAAAAGGTTAATCATGTCCTGCTCTACCGGTAGCACCCGACGCTCACGCAATGTGCATAAAAATTGTTTGTTGCCTAACGCCGCAAAACAACTCTCCTGCCACACGACGGCAGCTTGTCAGGTGAGACCGTCTGAAATATTCTCTTTATTAATGTCAATCCATCTTCATTTGTTCACTCGCAAACAACTTGTCTTTGCAAAGGGTTTGTACAATTGCAATATATCCATACATTGCAAACAGTTTGCCAACGTGAGGAATTGATGTTAGAGTGAAGTCCTAATTGCCCACACAATTCGTGTAAGTGTTACTGTCATATGTTTATACAGCAACCGGCGACATTCTTCAGAATAATCCATACTGACACCAGGCAGCTTTGTTCAAACCTATAACTTGAGCTGCCTGCGCATTGACTCGTACACACGAACCCAGCATGGTATTGATCAACAGATATAATAAACATCGGTTATGCAACAGTTAGAGAATAACCTTCTTGCTTCGTGAAATATCTGAGGTGAAGATGGGTTTCAGGTGAGACGTGCATGCACGTGTGTGTGAGCTTTCCAAATGAGATACCATGCCGTAGTTTTCAACATTAATACCCTACTCAGACACAGTATACTGACTCCGAGCCGACCAGTCCCTTGATGCCGAGCGCCAGGCAGGGTAACAAAAAGTTCCATCTTTTAACGTCTCTTTGTTGACACGGCCGGGGGTCGAACCCCTGACTTTCCGCTATCCGGGCTGACGCTCTCCCACTAGAACACGGAGGCGGTCTCTTCGAGGAATAACGGGTTATCTATCCTGAGTGAAATATTTTGTCACGAGACTTTTGTCACGAGCAATTGGGTTATTCTGTATATTACCGAGAAAGACACCCGTGAGGATCCGGGTTAGAATTATTATAGATCTTCAGCGACCCATGTTTGTCTTAAAAGGCAACTACGCTTGTTGTAAGAGGCGACTAACGGGATCGGGTGGTCAGGCTCGTTGACTTGGTTGATGCATGTCATCGTATACCAATCGCGCGGATCGATGTTCATGATGTCAATCACTGGATTGTCTGGTCCAGAATCAATTATTTACAGACCGCCGTAATATAGCTGGAATATTGCTGACTGCGGCGTTAAACAACAAACAAACAAACATAGAAAGACGAAGAATGAGACGAGTAGCAGCGGTAGAAAGTAACATTTTTGGTCCACTACTCCTTATACTGATACTATATAGCAAAACCTCTAAAAATAACAAATATCTACTAGTCCTTATGATACCTTAACTATTGGGCAGATATGCAAGGACTATAGGACTAGTGCCAATTTCTAACCCTGAGTAGTGTATGTAAGAGTCATTTATTGCTATACACAGTAAAACGACGTTTTGCCATACAATACATGTAATGTCCGGCCTCCAGGCCTATATGCGACACTAAATTCATTTAACTTAAACTGAATTAAAGAGAGAAGCTTTGTAGAAAAGTGTAGGTTCCTCCTTAAATGAAGATGGCTACTCGTTCAGTCTGTGGTTGGAATGACATCACACAGCACCGCTTTTGACGCATTGAACAGTGTATTACGACATCTTAAATTAATTGAGACAATGATATAATTGCTAACTAGCACAGAAAACGATCAATTTGTGTGAGGTGAGGTGAAATTGGGTTTTACGTCGCGTCCAAGATTATTGCACTTATATAGCGACGTGCATGCACGTGTGAGTGTGTGTGTGGCTGCTTGTACTTGTCCGGACTGATGTCGATTTATATTGGTAGCCCACTTGGATACCATGCCGCAGTTTAACATGAATACCCCACTCAGACACAGTATACTGACTCCGAGCCGACCAGTCCTTGTTTTAGCTCCTTGATGCCGAGCGCCAGACAGGGTAACAAAAGTACCATCTTTTAGCATCTTTTGGTATGACGCGGCCGGGAATTGAACCCCGGACCTTCCGCTCTCCGGGCGGACGCTCTACCACTAGACCACGGAGGCGGTCAATTTGTGTGAATTAGCTATATGCTTAGTGCATGAAGTAAACAATGGTGAATAATTTCACCCATATCCGTTCCCCAATGAGTATAATATTAGCCGCCTCAACCGTAGCTCTGTGCTGCTTCCAATAAACGATTTTGAGTTTGACTTTTCACTG